CTTCTCCTTTGATATCCTGACGGGGAAGCAATCGTGGAACGAAAGACAGGAGCTTGAGATCTTGAATCAATGCGAAATCGACGTCCAGATTAGCGCTCGGGGGACAAGAGAGCGTTCGGGAGTATTTTTCCGTAGAATAGATTTGAATTCGGGAAGACAAGGATTAGCGCCCGAGAAACGGGAACACTGTCGATATCAACGATGGCCAAGCATCAACATACTCGTCATTGCGAACAACGACTGAATCATCATCATACGCGATGACGCTCTGCGGCTGGGTTTTTGACCGAGAGTTGTTTAGAATCTCGAGCGGAGGTGTGAGTAACGACGACAACGGCCGTTCGCGCCGGCGGCCACTTATAGGGGCTAAACAAATGGCGTTCGAAAGTAGACAACGACCGGTTATCCGAACCCCAATCAAAGTTCGCTACTTAGGGCTGTTGACGATATCCTCATCATCATCATCATCTCATGATCACAACATTGTAATCTCTAAGCGGAATACTGCTCCGGATAGTGCAGTCACTCCTCGAATGAGGAAGACGATGTTCAGTGCGGACTTCAAGGTCCCGATTCCCGGCTACCGGCCACGTGGATCACAATACCACATCGGCCACAGGTATCCACCGAGTTTCTATTTCTCGGAAATTGTGGGAAACCACGTCGACCAGCTATACTGGGTTCCTCTCAAGAGCAGGAGTCAGTATTCCTGGAACCTTTTCCTCCTTTCGCCTGTGGCTCGATCCCCGGATGGATTTCGAGGCTGGACTCGGAATCGCGGAAAGATAATGGAGATGGGTGAGAAAATCGTCCAGCTCAATGTGCGGAACGTACGCGCAATCTGGTCCGAGTTGGACGTGGCTAATCTCGTGCGTGTTCGCGACCACGCTCGCGTGCGGGGATTCTCGATGTCTGCGAGATGAAGCGCAGACTAGCGCTCCCGCCGAATAATCCCTGACGTTTGCCGGTCTTTTCGAGACCGACTTTGTCTCTACGCGAAGCAGTGAGCCCAACCACTGTTGTTCAACAGCACTGATCTCCACGTCAGCCGCCTGGTTCCAACGCCGCGAGACGAGCCGCTCGTTTCGCTCGAAACCCGCGGAGAATTCCTACAATATTTACAAACGGCTAGTTAGATGGGATAGGACCGACTCCCAGTGCTCTCAAAGACGGCGGCGAACACGCCGCTCGCGGCTCCGCAGAAACCAACGCTCGAATTGCCGCCAATGTATCCACATGCCGAGTGGAAACTCGATCGAAAACCATGGAACATTTCCCCGGAAGAGGCGGCTCGCGGTTGACGACCCGTCCCGGACACCAACGAATCCGGGGCAACGGTGACCGACTCGTACGGAACGGGGAATGTCGTCGATCTCGGCGAATTCGTGAAATTCCGGAAATTCACGAATTAGCTCGACGGTCGGCCCATAGTCCAGACACCGAAATCGAAGGAGGGTTCATCTCTCTCTGGTCCCCGCCGGCATGTTCCCGACATTCGAGAGTTCGTCATTGGAACAAGCACTAAACCTTTTTATCTCATTTCGGGACTCTCGCCCGCGATGTCGCGGATTTCGATTTTTTATCGTCCTGAAACGATCGGCTCGTCGCTCACCACGTGAGGAGGTTTTCGCTACAGAACTCCCTACAGAAACATAAATAGAGCTGACTGAGAGCTGTTGCTCTGAACAAGCACGGATTTCGGTGACGTTTCAACAAGGAAGTCTATTCCAAAAAGCAATTGTGCCAACTCTGACTACTGGCGTGACACCGCGGACCGAAAGCTGGTCGAGAGTCGAGCGACGACGGCAGCGGCGCGGCGGCAGCCGTCGACTCGTTACGAGGCGGCTGGCCCCTTGGAGCACCGCCACAACCACCAGTTAGAGTCGAGCACGTGAGTTCGGCGACCGTGAGCTCAGTGTTCCACGCTGTCAATTCGCCCGGAAAAATTACGCCTTTGCGTAAGGGGGAGGATGCCGATCCGAAACGTATGTCCTGGGAGGGGACGGAGCGAACTCTCAAAATTTTCAGTTTCCGAACCCCACCCCGAGAATCAAGGCATTTCATGACGAAGACACCGTGAAATGATGCTGCGTCAAATAGGAATCGACGCGGTAAATCGCGACGACGATATTATCGATTACGGGGAGACTCATCGGATACTCAGAACGGTTTATCCTAATTTGACTGCTCTGAATTTTCTCCTGAACGATCCGATCGAAGATCGCTCCAGTTCTAAAAATTCAAGGCTGAGCCGGAGACCACAGAATCCCCCCATGAGTAGGAGCGCGAAGATGAGCCCTAGCCTGAGAGCGAAATCGAACAGTCAGTCCGCCGGGCGGCTAACTATCCATCGTTAAAGTTCGGGGGTCCCACTGGGAGCAAGATCTGGTCCAGTTGAGTGAAAAAAATTCCCACGTCTGTAGACTTATTGGATTGCATCGCTTCCAAACCCCCGAAGTCAAGCTCGGGGGCTCCACGTTCGCGCTGCCGGACTCCTGATAGTTTGTGAGAGTCTCCCGTTGTTCTGTGGAGCACCCGATCGGGTCGCTCGGGTGAGGAAAACCTTGAGGCCGCTTTCCTCCAAGTTGGCATTCTGCTCAAAGGTTATCGCGGCGTGACATCGATCCACCGTGAATGGCATGACCGTCGCTGTCAACATGGCTCCGTAAAGTCAACATCGAGCTTCTTCGATTTCGGCGCATCTCGACCGAGGACACAGTACTCGAGAGTCATATGGAAATTCCGCGCATGGCAGTCGTTGCCAAGAAGGGTTACGGATTGCGTTCAGTCCACTCGACGGAGACGGTCAACGAAAATACTCATTCGACACGTGGCTCGGAGGTCGGAGCTCGGAGGCCAAGCGCAGAACCTTTTTCATGCGCACCCCCGCCTGAGGCGCCCCCTTGAGACTCGGAGCGGGTGACACGCTCCCAGTGTACTTCACAAGATAGAATCTCTATTCTCATGCAAACTCGGACAGAAGGAGGAGTCCGTCCAAGTGTCCACTCAACATGCCGTCGCGGGATTCGAGACATTGTTTTTCTATAGCTCCTGATCGCTACAAGATCCTGGGCATGTGACAGCTCGTGGGAAATCAATTGCGGTCGAAGTTGGACGAGTGTCATCTCGAAAGGAGCGAACGCAGATTCGGCCGATTCACATGAAAAGCCACGACAAGCATTGCATGTATGAAGAACCTCCATATTAAAACAGCTGAACGCGGCCGCAGCGAGTGCTCATCCACTGGGACCCATCGATTTTTGAGATTCTCGCGAATCACATTTGAAGCCCGTCGGAAAAATCGATCAGTAATAATAATGTTTATGAGCTGATCGAATTAAGGAAATGATTGTGAGACCCCCGCTCAGAGATGAATTTTCCGATACAGACGATATCGATGGAATCTATCCCCGAAAATGAGAGATATTGAATGCATTTAGGACCAGGGTTGCGGAGTCGACCGGGTCGTTGCAGCATAAATTCTCCTCAGATTCCGAAGTGAAAGGCAAACGATCGATGAAGAAAGAAACCTCTCATGATACTGAGCTCGAGAATCGAATCATCGAAGAGAAGCTCCTGTTGTCATGTCCATGTGGCTCAATTCATTCGCATAGGAATGGGATGCCAACGGAGCTTGCGCCGACATGCGGAATGGAACGGTGGCGGTGTCTCGACAACACGCGGCGTAGCGTTCTCTACTCCGGATTGGGTCGGAATGAGGTTCTCGAACGACGAAAACTTTACGTTTCCCCCTAATGGCATTATCCTAGAGCCGCTTCTCCACCTAATTGAGAGCACATGGCGATCGGACGAGGTTTCGCAACTAAAATACCTTTCGTTGGAGGACACATCATGAGCGGTGAACCGGAGCTGAGACTCTAGAACGTGGTCCAGCTTGAACGTCTGCACGTTGTCGCTTCAGAGCACATAACACACAACTGGCGGGCCATGTGCGCGGTCGGATTCTTCCCTCCTGCTTTGGCGGCTCTCTATCGAATTTCTGGGCTTGTCCACACAAATTTCACCTCTCGCGAGATCGAGGCTCATCAATGAACTCTGATGGAAAAACTCTTTGGAAAGCGAGCGCTTCCTGCGCCTGTGTAGATACTTTCGGTCTCGTTCGCAAGATGAGACTCGAATTCAACTTCTAGACGGACTTCGCAAATAATGGAGCAAACAAGATTTGTCTGAAGCAACCTCTCTACATGAAGAATCCACTTAAGTCCAACGTATACATATAACCGAGTTTTCTGAACCTTGAGAATATTCTCCGTCAGACAACCATCAATTTCGAACTCTCGACTCATTAAAGATTGAATGTTCCAGACGGGAACTCCATTTTTTTTGCTTCACTGGATCGTACGCGATCGTGAAGGACTCTGTTGTTGCCAGGAGTCCGTATTGCCTCAGGGGTCAGAAGGGAAATGGAGGGGAGGGGGGACTAAGTGCTTATGAACTCCGAAGAATCGCTTGATCGGTTCTGGCAGTTCTCCTCGCCCGGAAATCATCACAGGGCAAGGAAGCGGTGGCTGTGTCAAATGAGGGAATCTGAGTAGGACAAGCCTATGGGGTATCCAATGCTAAGTGGCTCGGCTATAGTAGAACCAATAGGGACCTCCGGATTTAACAGACCGACTCCCAGGCCCGGTCCGATCTGCTCCCATCTGATCCCACGCTGATCAGATCGGTCCTTATGACGGACGTATCATTGAGAGTAGGAATTTCGGGAGCGATATCCCATAGGACGATTTGCGGGGTTTCTCGCCCTTTTACGCGTCATGAGGGTGGCTGCGGTGGTGTCCCCTATGATTTTCACCTTCCATTGCGAATCAAATTCCCATCTTCGGATAGAACGGACTCCGGATACAACCGACCGTGTCGGTCGGTATCTTCAATTCCCTTTCAGCGAGGCTCTACTGTATCGAGGCGAGCGGAATCATTTCGACTTTCTGAGTCTCGACATCCTCCACGTGGATAAAGATAGAAAATTTTCTTTGCAGATATAACGTCGTTTTCATGATCGTGACGTACTTCATACCGATGTTTACCATGGCGATAGCGTACTCGATCATGGGTCATGTACTTTGGAGAAGCAAAGGAATCGGTGAACAGACTGAGCGTCAGAAAGAAGCCATACGCTCTAAACAAAGAGTAAGTTTTCCCCCACTCGGGCTCATCTGTAGGGAACTTGGTCTAACTAAGAACTTCGAGATGCGTTTCGATCGGCTGCCGGGTCAGGGACGAGGAGCGGACTTATAATCCGCTCTACCAATCTCTGCGGATCTGATACATGGAACTTAATCTCGGGAAATCCCTGCCGAACTCCGAGTTGTAGCTTATCGAAAGAAACTTGGAATAATGATTATCAAATCATGCTCAGACTTCGGGGGTCGAAGCTTCTGATCAGATATCCAATCTACCGCACTCCGATTGGGATATGGGAAAAATTCAGCAGTGAAAAGTCCCAACTGAACGTTTCTCGCGATTCCCCGTCGTGTCGACCTCTGTACCAAGTTTACCAAACCTTGAAATGAAAATGAAGGGTCTGACGGAAACTAAACGCCGAGCATCAGCGTCGAGAGTAGCGCTGCCAAGGGGCGTGATGTTCGGCGAGGAAACTCTCCGAAGGCAGCGTTCCGGGCTCTAGCGGAATCCGAACCTCTTGGTCCGGCATCACGAATCGACCATGGATCGAGCGTGAATAAGTCGAATTACTAATTGCTCCGCGAAATGTCCATAAATGACCAAAAAAAATTTACTGTGGAAAACCCGACCATGGACCCGGGCTTGCTCGGGATTTTTATTCCGATCGCAAGAGTTTCAAATCTCATTCAGTAATCCGATTCATAGAGCTGGTCTATGATAAGTTCCGAACTCGAGGCAGTCTCTCGAAGGTCCGATTCACTCTGGCGTGGTGGTCCAGCGTAGAGTCCCGATCCGCCGATTCTCGGAAACCGAAATTCTTGTCTAACCACGTTCCGATGACTAAATCGACTTTTTCCGAATGGCCCGCTCAGCGACGTCATGACTCTAGGCGGTGACGCGAGATCGAGAATCTGGGGAGCTCACACTATACGAGCGGAAACAGGAAGAAATAAGGAAGGTCTCCGGGATTCCGGTCCAGCATCTCTGCTCTCTCATGGTCTTCTCCAGTATCGAGGATAATTTCAGAAAATGAGCTTCGCTCCGAAAGGAGGCACCAATGCGGACCGCGAGAATTTTCGTTCAGTAGAGCACTGACTGATCGCAACAGTCCATATGTATTAATCGGTCCTGATCGAATCAGACTTGTCAGAATCGAATGTCGGAACTTCGCTGGCAAATTCAAGCGGGCTCAGGGCTCAGGACATGCGAGTTCTGAAGTGTCCATGCGAAGGAACTGGACGAATTTCTTGTTTCTCGATTCGATGATCGGAACCCGTCCCGCAAGATGACGCGCGAGCTCTCCGGAAATTGCGCGATTACTGCTTAGCGTGATGCTGTCGAACGAATTCCGCCTCCGAAACCGAAGGTGAGGCTCACGAGACTAAAAGCGCCTGCTCGACTTGGAACTTGGGTGCAATCTCTAGTCCTGTGGGCTTGAGTCGCTGAATGACTGACTGAGAATACTTCTGATGGACTCCCCAGTGCTCTCTCGGATGAATGCAGACTTTCCGTCTATTGAAACTCCCGTGGGTGTTTGAATGCTTCTCGGCCTCCGAGGCTAAACTACGATGTTCCAACAGAGTTCCCTCGAGTTTTACGCCGTTCACCTCTCCAGCAGAGGCGTTTGAGTCGCAGAAGCGGGAACGCCGACTCTCTCCTCGCCGTCCGCATGAGCCTCTCTCTCCCAGGCGTATTTCAAATGTTCTCAAGGAACCTGAGGGTCATCAGGTCACCCGCGGCCGCCGCTACCCTAGAAATTGATTTACGTATCGGATGCTGGGATAAAAAAAAAAGTATGCGGACAGAAGATTTGAACTTCTCTCTGAATAGAATTTCTGTCTGAAATCTGACAGACAGCAGGAACAGCTGTTTATTCTGCGCCGATCAATGTTTCTCTCGGTGCCACAATTTCCTCCCGTTCTTCTGGATTTCTCTTTGAATGAATCATCCGATCATTTGTACACTCGGGTGTAGGAAGAGAAGCATCAGAAGCAGAGCCACGTAGAATTTGAATAATACGACTTGATGCTCATGAATTCGAGGTCCTAAACTTGGATGTTCATGCGATGTTCACAGTGCCGATGTTTACAGCACCAAAAGACCGAGTCGGCTCGAATAAAGACAATTAAATTTTTCCCCTTGCAGGTGGTTCGGATGCTTGTGGTGGTCGTTCTGATTTTCGCTGTGTGTTGGCTCCCATATCACCTATACTTCATCTTCACGTGCCTAGATCCGGCGGTTACATATTCGTCATGGGCTCAGCCGTTGTACCTCATAATCTATTGGCTAGCGATGTCCAATTGCATGTACAATCCTTTCATCTACTATTGGATGAATTCCAGGTGGGTTTCCTCTCGCTTACTTCTCACCGAGCGAGGGCGGGGCTCTCGGCTCGTTTACATGATGTCATCATCCCTCCAGACAAGCTGCATATTCGGACACGGCTTCCGCAAAGCGCGAAAAATGATAAACGTTGCCCATGGCTGAGCTCGAGATCGAATCGAGACGGTACTAGTGTCGTGGAATTCCCGTCTGGGAGATCAGCCTGCCCGCGCATATCTCCCCGAATCCAATACCTTTATGCGATATAATTTCCGGAATGCGGAAGACTCGGAGTGGGTGAAAAATCCCATGTCACCGGATTGTATTCGAGATATGTCGCTCGGACGATTCCTACGGGCTCGCGAATTCCCTCATTGTTTGAGGCGAGCGTAACGTCTCCTCCGAACACGCGGCACTGCAGGAGAAACGCAGACGCCGCTGGCGGCTCATCGGACTCGGGGTGTGGCGATCGAGACGCAGAGCCTAATGGAAACTCCTATACCCGCATCCACTCGGTACTATTCGTTTCCGATGGCACGAACCCGATGAGTGACTACCCCGCATCGGCACCAATCAGCAGCGGGTTCATCCTGCTCGAGAGCTGCTCATCGCGTCGGGGAGACCAGTGTAATACTCGCGGGCAGCGGATTGGTCTTCGTTAGATTGCTCTCAGAACTCAGAGATGAATCGCTGACTTCGAGGATATATGGTGCGCCGCTCCGAGAGAGATTGATTGAGTTTTTTCCATTGGGAGGAACCGCTTGGACGACCTGCCTATTCCTCAAATCTTTGTTGGATACAGGGGTTTCGGATCCCATTCGCCGCTTGTCATTTCTCGCCTCGAAATGCTGGGAATCTAGAAAGGCACATCTCGAACGAGGGCTGGATGAGATGGCTCACTGCTCTCCGAACCTCTGTCCGATTATGCGATCGAGTCCCCGCTAATCCACGAGATAAACGTCGGATTACACTCTTTCCCTCTGCGTATTCCATTCCAATATCTCATTCGATCGTCAGCATGCTTCAGAGTGACGAAAACGAGACTGAAACCGCAGGATTCTGCTGAGGGCGGAGAGATCTTGTGCCATGTGCGAAATTCCCACACCGAGATCATAACCGACGGAGGTCCTCATCCTTTCGTTTTAGGGAGAAACCCCCGCGAACTCTACTCCGAAATTTCGGCTCGAGCTCCGAGTTTTTCCCCTCATTCATCGCGTTTGTCATCGGTCGGTGTTTTCCGTGAACTCCGAGAACTTTTGAATCTGGGTTTTGTCCGCGGGGAAAAAATATCATGCGAGCCGCCGCCCTCTCTCCCGCGCTTTCTTGGAGTAATTTCTTCCCATCTGGTTCTGGCTCGTTGTGTATTCGTGCGCAAGTGGAGCGGGTGCTGCTCTTGACAATAAGTCTTGTGATGTAGCTTTTACTGACATCTCGAGAAAAAAAAGAGTCATCTTTCCCCTGCCCGCCGGCTGACAACGAGACCGAGAAACTGAGCAGTGTGAAGAGTAAGAACACAACAGACAACGAGAGGCTAGAGATTCTAGCTCGACAAAAACTGTCCAATAAGAGCAGAGAGAAAAAGACAGAACCTACGGTGATAGAGGTGATGACTTTCGAATGAAGGAAAGCTTCTGGCAAATGGATCATCCTCTTACTCTCTGAACGACGTATTGAATCAGAACAGCGCTGTTGCGGCCTGAGAAGAGATCCGAACGATAACAAAAAGAGAGCCGGAGCGACACCGGGGAGAACACTTCTGCTTCATCGGACTCGGGACCTTCGCCCTTACAATGAGGACAGCTCTCGAGGGAATCGCTTGATGACGGTTGAAAATCAGCGTTTGACCCGTACTTGAGGAGAATGTGAGCGGTTTTATGTGAAGTATCCCAATGATGCTCTTCCGGCACGATATACCCGTGCCTTGTCGTGATAAGGGGATACGGGGGCGGAATACGAAGTCGATGAGAACTGATACCGACACAGAAAACTCTCGGTGATCCCCGGTGAGATTTTGCGGAATCATTGACGCTCTCTCTCCGACCCTTATAACGAGTCACCCCTGATCACGAGGTCGCTCGGTGAGAACGTGTTGTGAGTATTCTAGGCCACCTCAAACTCTCCGCAGAAACGACAAAATGATTCAACCAAGATTAGTCCCGATGCTTTTGCGCGGGTTCTCAGTTTTCCGCCTTACCCATGCTCTCCGATTCCGGATGGGTACGGCCCGGGAGCAGGCAAGGGTGTTGACGCTCCACAGTTGGTAGTTCGAGCGCCGGAAGCTTCCGGATCGACCGAAAGATTGACCCATTGGCTCCGGAAATTTTCAATTTTCTCGGCGGCTCTCGTCATGGACTGGCGAAAGTCAGAGTTTCGGCACCGCGTCAGTGATCATGAAACGGAAATTTTTGGAAAGTCAGTCCAATATGATCGGGGGTCAACTCTGATGGGAACAGGGGGAAAAGAGCTTTCCTGGACTATGGGAACTTAATGCTCATCCGTAGGTGACATCCTCCACGGGACACCACGGGTCGGCAGTTTCGACTGTTCGAGCTCGGTCTTCGTATGGACATTCCTTCATCGACAGGATCATTTTTGCATCCACTTACATTATCTTTCAAGAAATTCTTTGCGCTCCGAACTTAGTGCTGGTCAGATCAGAGAGCTATCGAATGCTCACCTGCCGAGTCTTGATGTCTCCTTCCGCACTGCCATACCTCGGTGTCAACAATTACCGCTCTTCGCTCTTCCTACCTGTATCAATCGATTGGACTCTCAAGTCTCGATTCAGTGCAGGCGGACTCGAACACTGGCGCACAGGGATCTCCAAATTGACCCGCTCTCTCAATTGCTCCCTCTTCCTCGGAGCTGCGGAAGCATCCGATCCTGATAGCTCACGCTCACCCGGCTATTGTGTGGAGTAATTCGACCGGCTCAGGTTTTTGTGTCGAAACGTGATGAGATAGAAGCCGATCAGGCTCGGAAATCCCCCGTATTCCGGCCGAACAACCTGTGAAAGGATCGAATGCGTCGAGGGCGATGAATTGCCGTATCATATCCCCGGGAAATAAAAAGAAAGACAAACTTTCTCGAACAACCAGAGTCGAGAACGGAGAGATTCTAGTCATCTCGACGGTCAAACCAGAGGCCCTGATTCGTTGTCGGTAGTGTCGCTTTCGTTGTAGTAGCTGTTGTTGTTGGTGGTGGTGGTGCTAAACTCATCGGAGATTCAAGCGAGAGATTAGATTCTGAGGATGGAAGAAAGCAAGCAAGCTAGTCGAACGGCTCGAGCCTCTTTAGACGTTTAGACTCTCACTCGGAGTTTATCTTCGTCTTTCTCACGAATTATCACTCGGGCCGAATCGTCACGACGCTGATATGTGAACGAGCATGCGAGTCGTAAGGTTGAAATGTCATTCAACTTATCTTGGAGTCGGTGTTTCTGAGCCGAGAATAGGGATGTCTTAACTGCATTCATGATTCCAACACCAGCTTTTCCCCGATGTCCGTGCTTCTGTGTTTTTTTTGTGATATCTCTCACTTTGTTAGTCTCGTGTTATCCATCTCTAGTTCTTGTTGAGTGAATTGTCATCTGTTGCTGCTCTCTACTCAGGACAGGATAAGGAAGTCGCGGAGCGAAACTCATTGTTCGATCGCGGATCGAAATGGGGCGAAGTACCGAACGGGTTTCCGGATCGCGAGTTATCGGTTTATCCATAGAATTTTTTTTGAGCTCTCAGGGGAGAGCGTGCGACAACATTCGACATTCCCGGGATCGTTTCCCCTCGGATCTCTCGATTTTGTGATCTTCGAAGCCATACAGCTCTCGAGAAGATGGGAGTCCAGGTGATCTCTGCACGTTCCTCAGAAAAGTAGACATGGAGCTTCTGGATCCCCGTGATGCGTTTGAACAAGCTCGAAGCGTCGACGAAGGGTCTGGGAGAGAAATGCTCCCTGTCAATCAGACCAGTCTGAGACGTAGAATTGCGGAGCGTTCGCCTCGAAGTTGATCGAGGAGGAGTATCGAGTCGTTTCCACGCGACCAAACTCCCACCGAGCGGATTCTCACTGAGAGACCGAAAGCCAGTTAGCGAAACACGTCGAGAGAAGTTCAGCGAGAATCAGAGCGAGAGGCCGCTGTGCAGTCGGGGCTGAAAGGCCTCTCGCACGTGGCTCCGGTTACAGAGCAGGCTTAGAAATGACGACAACGAGCAAGACGCAACAACATAGTCTCTGACAAGAGGCAGAAACTATGATGATTCACACACCGGCCATTGAAACTGTTTCCCGTCCCGCGACCGAACCACACGACCAGAGACCGAAAATGAACGGGCCAGAGATCCAGAGGACCTTTAAGAGTCGATCGGGGATGAGCGGGACCGATCCGAAAGCTAGACTGGCGATTACGGAACGAGAAGCAACATCAAGAACATGTGCTTCACATCAACTCGACCCCACCCGCTCTCTCATGAGCCGAGTCGCGATTCGATAGCTTCCCAGAAACACAGGGACTGGATTTCCCGGCTCGAACTCGGAGTGGGGGGCACTGAGCACTACCGGAGACTTTTGGAGAACGGGACGGTGGAACCGGCCCCGGAAGGCGACGAGCAACGAAGCTCTCAGTGACGAAAATCTTCGTAACCGAGGCATCGTCTCGGTAAGGATGATCTCCTTCCGAGGTGTCGCCTTTCCGACTCTCGAGTGGTCGACATAAAATGATGACTTTATGAGTGAGCAGGGGTTCGAGTACTGATCTCAGAACAATAAGCTTGAAGAAGGGGAGATACCACGAACAAATCGAGGGGAGAGTTCAGGTGGTTGCTCATAAAGCAAGTCAGCCATAAATTTGACTAAAACAAACAGTCGGATCGGCGTGCTCGATGACGAACAGACGGAGCGTCGTTCGTTCACAAAAAACAAGTGTATAAGCCAAGGGTTTTCACACGCTCTACAATCCATTTCGAGTTACAGAGCCACGATTGAGTGGGACTCTAGACACGGTTTCGGTTGGGGATTCGGTTCGTGATTTCCTGCGCTCTCTCGATGGCGGGCTACCGCGTCACGATATACCCCGTGGCTCAAAACGGCTGCGACCCTCGTTCGAATTTCATAGACTCGGGCCCAATGCCCTCCGAGCGGGTGAGGATGATATCATCATGGAAAATCGGATCGGGATTTCCTGAGCTTGTAGCAAGCTCCGAACCCCTACAAGGAAGAGACATTGGTGTAGCCTGTTTTTCCCTTCGACTGAGTTCATGGTCGGACGACTCCGGTATCCCCAACTTTGCCCGTCGGGAGTAAACCTATGCTCGACATAGAGTCTTCATTCGAGAAAATCAGATCAGATTCTCCAAGCAGGATTCGCGAAATTGTTGACAAACTCAGCTGCAGAGAGCACTGCGGAACTTGCAGACAAGGCAAGAGTTCAATGCTACGAAAATGGAAGAGATCGGAAAAATCCATAAGTGCGTCATAGTCCCCCCATGAAAGTCGCTCCGAGTCGGAGCTTCCGACTCTCCAGATTTTTTTCCTTTAAGACTATCTCTCCGCGCAGAACTCGACGAAGCTTCCGTGTAGTCCTTGCTTTATGCCATTTGGAGATTATCCTCGAAGATTCTCGACCATGCCACGGCTTCCTTCCGAAGTTTCCACTCGCGAGAGACCCACCTACTACGGAAAATGAGTAGAATCTGATCCGACATCGTTCCTAGGGAAAAATGCAAAGATTGTCGGCGTGTACCGATACGACAGAACAGATCCATAAGCTGATCTCAGCTGATATCGCGACTTCCATCCTGCTCGAAATCGAGCATAATCCGGCGATGTTACCTCCGATGGGGTCTCGCGGCGACGGAGACTTATGTACGACGATTGATTTTTCAATAATGATTTCGATTCCAGATTTCGGAGTTACTTCCGCTTTGTCCTCTGTTATTGCTGCAACCTCGGCAGCGGCTTGGGGCACAAATGCAGCGAGGTCGAACGACTCCAAAGCGACTGGACGTTCAACAACAACAGCCCGCATCGCCGAACTCTAAAGAGCCAGACGGGTACGGAATGCCTCGTGCTCACTGCCGTGCATAGAAACGGCGCTTATCAGGTAATCTGGGAATCTCCCGTCGGGTTTCAGGCCGCTTAGTACGATCACGGCGCAAACAGGCCGATGGTGGCGCTCCTCTCCGGGAGTACCGATTGTGGAAAGAGTGCTTCAGCTGGATGTTAAAAGGCAAACTCGCACGTTTTCTGTGGATGGAAGCAGTTTTCTAGTAGAATAATTTTGGTTCCAAGTTTCAGAGGGGGCATCAGGCGAGGAAAGCCAACGACGCTAGCCCGCTGAGACCCGCCGTGCATAAAGCTCCGGAAGACAAGCTGCGTCTAGAAGAGTAGTCGGGAGGGACTGGATCGAAGTTACGAACAAGAAATGCATCAACTCGATGTCACCGGCAGGTCAACTTCGAGGCGGTTGAAATCAGTGAGGAACCCGGCCTGAGCCGAGAATCATCGAGAGGAGCTTCACGAGGCGACCGCAGAGTGCTCAAGAATTCAAAGGGTATCCTGACTTTGTACAGATTCATTGGAGGCTGCGTCCTCGAATGAAATTATACATATATACATGTGAGGACCAAATCTACGAGAGCACGGAGAATAGAATGTGCTGAATTTTGTACGTACGTGCTTACGGTGTCATATGGATATCAAGACATGATATATGGATGGGATACTGAGCAAAAGGTCTAAGTCAGTAATTCAGAAGCGTTCCGTGAACATTGCCTCCTAATGAGGTTCTCATGTCGTCTGCGAGCGGCAGATCCGAGCATCATCGATACGCTCTTAATCGATTCCCGAAGCTTTCGCCCATTTCATCGAGAGAAATCTGAGGACTCGTCAGCGGGCGAGACCTCAATTCAAATCCAATAATCGACTGACCGCGGAATTCGGATCGGAGTGCTCAATGTTGGACGACTATCCTGTGATGTAATGTTCGGTGGGAGCGATCCCGGACTGTTGAGAGATATCCGTTGAAGGACTCTCATGCTTTGATTAGAAAAAATCGGAAAGGTCGGGCATTTCGCCGCTACGAGCATTCGGGGTTCGTGACTGACTGATTTTCCAATATTCTTCAAAGCGAGTCTTTGCTCGATTCTATTCGGTATCCTCAGACTCATTGAGAACGACTCGATACAATGTTGCATTCACGTACAGAATGCCGTCGACGCCAGATTCCCTCGGCCTGGACTGCATTCGATTAGGAACCCTGTGCTGGAGTCCCTAGGAACGATATTGAACGAGAGAGAAGATCAACTTAGACCGCGTTGCCCCTTATTTCCGGGCCGAAACATGAGGGTGCTGTGGAATAGACAGTTTGAGCCGCCTGTTTTCTGAGCGGCCATCGAGATCGATTGGTTTAGTTCTTCGCCCTGGAAGACCCGGAACAGGGCGCACCCGCCGCGAAAACCTAATGTGAGCTTGAATGGATGAGTGGGTCAATGAGGCAGAGAGGTCAATCCAATTATAACGGTTATCATCGGGGATGCTAATAAAGGAATGCAGAATATTTTTGTGGGAAGCAATTCGGTGAGTTTTCAATGATCGGTTAGGGGCTTCCATGATCCCCCAGGCTCTGCCTCAGTCGCTCTCTTGATAAGGAAGATAATTCTTGGTTTGTCGACGTGGATGATCGTTCCAGTGACCAGGACTCCCACCCAGCTCCTCCTCGCTCCACTTCGAAGTGTCGTTCCTTGCACCTGGGAATCCGGGAGCTAAGAGCTCCGGATACGAATCTGGAGGAGAAACTCTCGAGGACACCATTCGTTCAGATACCCACGGGCCTTCGTGATGTCGTAAGACCCTCTTGGGTTTCATAATTGAATTCGAGCGTTCTTCAAAGCTCTGATTCTAGATATCCAGAGTGCGCCTTGGGAGAAGAGCTGCACGTCATCGACGGAATCGCGCCAGAAACCACCTCGCGGAATTCGGTGAATAGAAATTTCCCAACGCCTAAGACGAGGGACTCAGGCATCCGCTTGAGCCTGCTCTGTGGTGAAACAGCAAACCTTGTTGGATTGCAGGATGAGGGAGCCGTAGGCACCTGAGTGATCCCCCAGGTAGACCTTCCCGCTCCCATGCGAAGCAGAGAGAAACTCCCGACCGCAATCGCCAGCGGCGCATCCCCGGCATAGTGTTTTCCCTTGATCGAGAGGCGATTTCGAGCATCCGTCGCATCTAAGCGCTGGCGCAATGATATCGGAGGAGAGATGAGCTGCGAACTAAGGAAAGCCTCGAGGACCTCTCGAGAATCGTCATGGGAGGTCGTCACCACCTGGGTCAGTGATGGTGCAGTCCAGCAGAGTGATCATCGCGGCTGCCCCGATCGCGCTCCATTACAAATTAACATGGGTAGCGCTTCGGCAGAGCTCGTCCTCGACTACGGTCAACGCTCAGTCAGTCAGTCGAACGTATGCAGAGCAGTATCAATATGATGATTGGAGAGCCCTGCGTCTGGGATAAACGCAGAGGGGAAGCCCTCATGCAAGCATGGCTAGCCGAGATAAATCGATCTCAAAAAGCTGACAATGAATTCCCTGCTCGAATGAGATCAGGCTGGATGCTCCTTGCACGCGCCAAGCGGCGAAAAGACTTCGGGTGCTGCAAGAGTCGAGATGATGTCTGACTGATGTTTCCATCGACCACAAGAGGCTGGAGGCATCGGAACACGATGGAATGTCGCGCAACGTGTTGAGATGTCTTTTCTGGTCACAGCAGAGCCTGCCAGCAAGTTGATACTCACGTTCTACTCTTTTGCGAGCCATGCGTTCCACCCCCGAGGAATTTCAGTAGGGGACACTGTTACGTATGCGGCCGTCAGAGCCACCATGGCGACTAGGATGAAGAATTTCATTGTCAAAGACCGCTTGAGTTGAGGTTCGTCCGCTAAACGCAGAATATCCGAGACACAGAACTGTCTGGTTTGCGTTTTGTTCTGAACGTTCAGTAAGCTGACGGAGCCTCGAGACCGCACTCGATTTCAGGAGACGGAACCTTTTTTCGCAATCGTCTTGATGAGCAGCAACAAAACGGAGGTTTCCGGTGGGGGGAGGTCCAGCGTAGAAACGACTCAGACCATGAATATCCGTGAGGAGAGGGACATTCTGAGAAAACGGCTTTTGAAAAACCTTCCTTGTTGTCTCCGTGGGTCACGGGGGCTTTGATTGAACCCTTCGAGACGGTCGGCGCAACCCCCCTTTGATAATTGGTCGATGGTGCGTTCATTTGTTTGTATAGGATCTCCCCGCACGCTTTCATTTCATTCTCATTGTAACGAAAGACCCTCACTGAGAAAAGGATGACTCAGCGGCTCGACGTCTCCGTTTCGGAGGCTTTTCGCCTCGGATAACTTTTTCATCTCGGAATGGCTCTCGTCGAGCGACCTCTCGTCCGAGGCATGGAGGCATCATCGAACCCACATCGACTAACCCCGTGATTGGTGTTCATGCGCTTCAAGTGAATACTAACACAGCTCTTATGCATCCGCATCGAGTGGCGGTCACCGGATCAGCTCAGTTTAAAGGCTGTTGGGTCAAGTCTTCCCACCCGCGGGTCTCATCGGCGCCGAGGGAGCCTTACCTGCGGGGAGTTCCTGTCAGAGACCTCGGCGGGCGCTCCCCTCACGCAAAGACTGCAGGCATCGGATCGAGCGATTCCAAACCTCAAGGGATCAGCCCCGCAGGAGCTCGGTCGCAATGCAACGCGGAGGCAGCCGGCTGCCCGAGGACTCGCGCGCGTCCGGAGGCGCGCGTCATATTCCCTCGGAGGAGGGAATATGACGAGAACTCTGTGCATCACGACGAGCTCTGAATTGAACACATTCAATAACATTGCAATAGAGAATGTCCGACTAAGTGACGTTAGTTGCTCGGACATTACACGAGATGAGAGCATGCGGAAGACTGGCTTGGAAGTAATGTAACTTCCCCCAGGGATCTATAATTTTCACTACGACTTCCAGATCCGGAACCGCGAAAACAGATGGTTGCTATACGCGGAAACCGTCTGCGTCCCCTAACGATCATGTTCCTAGGGAAACCATCATGAACTATTCCAGTCGGAAAAGAAAAAACGCATTAACGCGATCCCGGAGAATAGAAACCTATTCTGCACAATCGAAATCTCTGGCACATGAAGCGGGGTTTCCATGTAGAGCGAGATGTCGTTCACCGAGTTGGAAAAATCAACTTACTGCCAAAAGTTCCGTTATGCTGGGCCCGATCGACAACTTAGGGAGAGGAACGTTCGGTACCAACAATCGGTACCGTGATGTCACTTAAATCGACCTGCCTCGAGTCAAACTCTCGAAATGCGAAGCCAATTTCACCATCTATATGAATCCCAATATTAGCGCACATGCATGCGGAGTCCCGGCCCCCTCTAGCCCGCTAGGCCAAGAGCGAAGCGAGGCGGAGGATGGTGGGGCAGTCTGCCCTAGAAATCTATGCTGTACGCGCATCGAGACGCGTCGCGCACAGAAGATACTCGAGTCATCTCCCGAATGACTTGCTCCATGGAGAAAGCAAAATCGCTTGTGCTGTGAACAGACTATCTGGAGGAAAATCTCGCTTGCCCACCCTTAAATCTGTCCTGAAGTCCGAGGTTGATCCACGGGGGTATCCCTCTCGTACCACTCTAACAGCTGATCCCTATATCAACCACAACGGACTGTACCACCACGGGCTCTTCTCGTGAGCCATCGATGTGAACTCAAGTCGACCCACAGCGATAGCTTTGCGGAGGGACTCCCACAGAGAATGCACAGAATAAGCGTCCCGTCAATCCGACGACCCTGCCGCTTTCGCTTTAGTAACAGGGACTTTTTCAGGATGGCCCACACAGCCGAGGTTTAACGTCCCGAAAATTGTTATCCATACGGATGTATAGAGCAAATGTGCCCGCGAGGGTCAAGGCTTATTGTATATACCGGTAACAGAGGTATCGAAGTCTGATTATTGTCCCATAGTAGTATTTGTCGCTGATTCCGGAATAGATTTCGCGAGGAAAACCGAGCAGGCTTCGCTCGAAGACGAATTCAGGAGAGAAAAGAGTTTCCATCCTATGGTACAACCAGAAACCGGGGATTTATTCTTATCAAATAGATCACTGCTCTGAGTTCCGCATTCCCAGTCCATGTTTGGCGAATCTTGGTCCGAATCCGAGATAATCAAATTGTTTTGGTGAGTCGTCGACGCCTCGGTGTCCCGCGGACTGCTGTCGCCGCATGAAGCCAGCACCGTCATCAAAAGTTTGCGTCGCACGCCTCTCATGAGCTCGCTCGTATACGTCCGAATCATACTGGCGGGGTGGATCGAAGATACCTGCACCGGTCACCCACGACGATCGCGAATCACTCCGGGAGCTCGCTCCGAAGTTTGATCTGGGGTTCGGTCCGATACTCCTGTGCACTGAAAAAGTCATAGAGAATTTTAGGATCATATCGCGATGGGACTGTCGCTGGAAAATACGCGGATCTGCTCGTTGGAGGAGCTCGGTGCTTACCCGACCCGTCATCCCAAGAGCCAAAATTCCGTCCGCGTCTGGAATCACCAAGCATGTCTCGCTGGGAGTTCGAATGACCGAATCTCACGTCACCGTCTACTCCTTGCGTGCCACCAAGAAAGCGAGGTAGTGTGATTGAATTCCGTAGGGTTTGCATGATAGATCCCGGGGAGAAGTCCGCTTGATCCCTGAACTCGCCTGGTAGAGCGCTCCCGAGAGCGACGGCACCGAAGAGGATCAAGATTCTCATGGTGAAGATGCGGGAGAACTCAGTCGTGCGAACATAAGCTCAAGCTTCCTTTCGGGGTAGAGTTCTTGCTTTTATAACAGGTCTCCACCCTCAAGAAGCGCCCCTCCCCCGCCGTACGTTGCTCGCGGCGACAGGAGATGAGCCATAAACATCCATAGACGTTGGGGGCTCGTCTCAAGCGAATCAACTGAGCGCGAGAGATGCGGCGACGCCGGCTCTGCGGGTCGACGGTTTACGCCTCAGAACTCTACCACGAGACTCGCAGGGGAGCTCGATGGCAGTCCCGGGACTCAATGATCTTAATGTTTCCCTCACACAATCCCAGCAGGCAGTGTTACCTCGAGAACTCTAGGAGGTGTCTCCGGGCCGTCTTCGATCCAGAGAATGACGTCGAGCCTCGTCAAACTCCACGCAAACTCTTTCTGCGGTGGAGATGGGACCGGTATCGCGGAAGCAAGCAGTTCAAGATCCTCGTCGGGTGACTTCGTAGCTATAGCCGGAGCTATATCTCGAAGACTAAACTCTATGAAGACCGACAAAGACGGGCTTCGTGGAAAAGATTTTCATCTTTTCTTCCCCTCCAATCCGATTCGGAAGGCGTAAAACGTGTGGGAATCTTCACCGCGCGTTAGGAAGGTGCCTATGTTCTGAATGGAAGAGTTTCTGTTCTGCTTCAGCGGAAGGTTAAAACGCTTCCTCCCCGACAACGTTGCTTGCCGTACCGCTACCTGACTGATTTCAGGCTGACACCTCATTCTATTCGTGATATCTGCGGTTAAACCTCCGAATACATCTCGACGGTCTCGGACAATCGATACTTCGAGAATCTCGCGCTCAGGAATAGCCATTAAGACCCAGAGGGGCTTCGAAGAGAGGTTCTGGGACTTCGATATGTCGATGGAGACTGAACGCGAGCCTTAGGTCAACTCGAGGAACTGTGCGACTTTTTTTAATAAATTAAGCTTTATTTTGTGATATTATATTAGATTTAACACTCGATTCTCGCGATCCGCCAGCCCGATTTCGAAGGAGCTTGCGATACCTCAGGGAGCGAGGAATTTCGAAGCGAGCCCAAGAACATCGATTTTGTCCGAGGCAGCGTCGTCCACGCCCCTTGGTTTCGATTCGTGGAGAAGAGGTCCCTCAAGTCCTTTTGAAGCCAGAGAAGATTTTCCTTGTCGTCTGCTGCTGGTGAGGGCTCCCGACTGCTTCGGACGCTCCGCGAGCTGAGATCGTTTGTCGAAAGCTCGGCCCTGTCTTCGCGGTGAATCGAGAAAACCATCGGAGACTCTCCAAGCCGCCTGCGGTGTCTCCGGCTCTTGATCGAAAACGGTCCTCTGCAGAACTGAGCCAAAAATGAAGCATGATTATACAGCTCTCGATACACTCGAATCGGAACCCGTTGACTTCCCTCGGAGGAGCAATTTACTTACTTTCGTCGTTTCTCAAGTATGTCGGTCGCGCCTGCTCGAGACTCGAATCTCCCAACTTATCCTCGTGGGAGCTAGAGAAACCAAAAGTCACGTCGCTATCGACGTCTCGACCTCCACCTAGGTAGCGAGGTATTTGAAGATAATTCCATACGGTTCGCATGACCGACGGCAGAGAGAAGTCAAATTGATCACTATAGCCAGCGGGGTAGGAAGACGCCATAACCAGACAGCTGGACAGAATCAGGAGTCGCATTCTCAATCCTCGGAGGATTTCGGGAGGTGTAGAATCTTGGCAGTATTCGAGGTGATTCGGTCCCAAGAACGAATAGATCACGGCCTTCGCGGAACGTCGATCCGATTTATAAGTATACCCGCTCTTTCCTACGAAAACGTCACAGAACCTGAGGAAAGGTCGAAGCCTCGCGAAAAACTTCTCTCAGCTCGCATCGCGACAGAGGGTTGTCGAGAATCAGCATCTGCGAAATGAGTCTACGCGCGGTCGGGGGAGGACATTGGGGTGCTTTTGAACTAGCCGCGTGAGCCAGATCCAAATTAGCTCTCGAGAATGAGTGATCTAATAGGACGAGCTCCAGCGCGTGGGCGACATGGGACGGATTATACTGAGGCGTCTCCGTGCCGCCTCTGGATTCATTCGTTGCATCGCGGGTGACGATTCTTGAAAGTACTTCGGGGAGGTTCGCAGGAGCTTGCCGACCCGCTGCTCCCCTCTGCCCGTTGAAAAGAAGTGATGCTCGCGGTCGAACCAAATCTTGATAGTCGAAGCAATCGAGGTCGCAAATCAATCGGGAGACCGCATTGTAGATGTCAGAAAAGATCCGGTCCAAAAACGTGGGAGCAAAGACGCACCGTCGACGTCGAAAATCCTGGGAATGCAGCTTCCGATTTAGATCTCGCCAATCGTTTAGCTGAAGTATGAAATATCCTGTCTTATCCTGTCTGTATATTTATTCGATCTCCCTGGGAGCTTGCTCTGTGGAGCGTCCACGTCGGTGAGAGAAGAGGCTTGGATTTCTTTTGCCACACAAACAGATGACGATTGGAGGGGTGCGCGAATGATCTGCGACGGGAACCAATGAATACCGGACGTCGGACGCTGACTCCACCGATATTGGCGGTCGCAGCTCTCGATCCAGTGGACGCGACACTTTCACAGCGTTCGAAAGTTGATCTTTTCAATATCCTTGTGGTGATCGAGTTTCGATTCTCCGCTTATTTTAAGGTGAATATACGTGCTTGACGATATTCGGTTGATCCGATATGTCGCACAGACACAATCTGAAAGGAAATCATTCGTTGACGGTATTTCGAGGGTCGGCGCGTCAACTGCTCATTGGAAGCATCAGGAGATCTTTCATAGAACCGCAAATGATGAGAAACTCCCGGGCTCCGCCGCGCTGACGTAATTCGGGTAGGAGAGCTCATTGATCGGAGCGCCCCGACCCAGGACCCAGCCGAGTAATTTTATTGGGCGAAAACTATCGAATTGCCCTGCTAGTAAGCTCAAAAAACCATCTATCCGGGAAGCTTGAGAGCTTATGGGCTTGGTACCGATAAGGGGCTCGAACGAATCATTAATGCTCAGGATTCCAAATCATGATCCCCTTCTTTTGTTCCATGTAAGGATGGATACATCCAATCTGCTTCGAGCTGTCTGGAACAACTTTCACGCCTCTCGAGCAATAAGAAACCGGACTTTGCGTGGACGGGATCGGGTAATCTCCTCTTTGACGATCACCAACTCGAAGCCTTAGGGGACGCCGCTCTCAATCCCGCTGCGGGAGTCTTCGTCTTCTCCAGGCCTGTGGAACTCCGAGCAGGATTCCTAGCCACAGAACCGCTGCGCAATGCAAGATAAATCTGAGATTATCGCGTGACCGCGTCTGATTTCCAATCCTGGCAGCAGGGTCATCCAGCATGGGTCATCCAGGAGTCCCGAGTCCGGGGATCGTGAATCCGCTGCGTATGTGACCCTCGAGGGAGGGGTCGAGTTGTCGCCGGAGGGAATCCGTTCTCACTAGGGGAGAATCTTCCGGGAACAATCGTTATCGACAACGATTGAATTCGAGTAGGAAATTCTATGAAAGAAACGTGAGTACCCCAAGTATATGATAACTGGGAAATTTCGATGAGTTTGGTTTTCGTGGAAGAGTTGCTAGTTTTAAGGAGAAAAAGCGCATAGGAGAGTATAAGGGACATCAGAACCTTGAGATCTCTTATCGCACCCACCCATCGCGCACCTGATTCGGAATTGGAGCTTCCGATTCAACGATGGAGGAGATCCGCTCACGACGCTTTCTTCCTTCTCGCCTGATCTCGACCATGCTGGGTTCCCTCAAGCTCTCGCTAAGCGTAGTAGTGTCGTCATGAGTGATTTTCGTTTTCCCTCAGATAGTCCCAAACGGGCGCGGGAGCGAAGCGAGAGGTTCTCTCCTCGGTCTGCTCGTAGATGAAATGCGTGGCCTGATGGGTTCCACGGCTTTCTAATGGACGGGTTATCGCCGCCGTATCGGTTCACGTTCCTAGTTTCGGCGAAGAGAGCCTTGTAGATTAATCCCGGATATACGCCTACAGGAGACTTTGACGACGAATTCCAATCGCGACCTGCTGGTTCTTGTGGTGGCTCTATGCCCGAGACGGTCTGACAATGGAAATCTCACCGTGCAAGTTATGTACGTATGTTTGCCGTCTGCGACGGAGACTCTCTGTCCAAGGCGCGACTCAACTGCCTTCAATTTTTCTTGGAATGATCGCAATGAGCGGCCATTTCAGTTGTGGTGGTGCTCTTCAACCTTCTCGGCGTAGGCTTATTGATGGTCAGCCAAAATACGTCCACGATCGTCAGGAGTCTGGCTGCCGGGAAAGTCGTCCTGTCAGAGGGTTCTGAGGCGGCTCGCACTTTCGCAGAGCCTCCCGTTCCAACTCATATCAAGTTCTACTTTTTCGACTTGTCGAATATAGATGATTTCCTCAAGCAGGGTAAGAAGCCCATCCTTCAAGAGAAAGGCCCATACGTGTTCAGGTAGGAGCTTCGAGACTACTCGGAAACTTACACAAAGATCGATATCGAGGCTGGGGGAAATCTCTGGTTCATTTTCTTAATGTTGTCCGGGTCGGAGCCCGGGGAGTGAATTCGAGATCACCACCATGAGGCAAGTATTTTGGATAATCGGGTGAAGTTCCCTTTCAGAATTTCGTCGAGCAAGACGATGACATGGAACGATTCGAAGATAACCTACGAGCCTAAGAAGAGCTACGTTTTCGTCGAGTCGGAGTCTGAAGGCAATCGCTTGAGTGACACCATAACGACCGTCAATCCGGGAGCGATGACGGCTCTGATGTTCGGTGCCGAAGGCATCAAAAACACCTTCAATACCGCAACCGTCGGGGAGTTTCTATTCGAGGGGTGAATTGATGGTCAATGATCCTTCTTCGAGCATGCATTCTAGAGACGGGAGCCAGATCAACCCCAGAAGCGGCGCGCGATTCCGTCCCCAGGTAATAATTCATCGAAATTATCTTACAGCGTCGAAGCGGACGATGGGGAAAAATATGGTTATTACTATAATAAAAATGGATCAATCGAAGGAACATTCGAAGCTTCCACCGGGGGAGGAGGACATATCGAGGATCTCAATCAAATCATCACCGTCGATGGGGAATCGTGAGTATTTCGCAGTCGAACTTGTATTTCGAATCCATTCAAAGCGATTATTCGACTTACGTCCTGGAATGCTCCTGTGGTCCAAATATCTGTCTTGATTGAGTTCAACTGGAATCATTGTTCTCGCAGAGATCTGATGTGCGAAAAAGTGCGCGGAACAAGTGAGTATTCGTGGGTTCATGCTCCCACATCGTATATGATCACCCGCTCGAGATTCGTCAGCAGTTCCGCGGCTCAGTGTTCACCGTCGGAAAAATTTGGATTGAAATATCACAAACATGAGATGTGAAAAATATTCCGCAGATGGCGAAAGATTCGCGCCCTTCTCCGTGCCCCCTCCAACCTTAACTTTCTACAGTCCATCTTTGTGTCGACCCTGGAATCTCCACTACGCCGAAGTCGTTACTGTCAACGATCTGAAATGTGTCCGTTATTCTAGTGGACGCGACTTCTTCTCTCCGACATTCGACGAGAAACTTGACAGGTCTGTAGAAAGGCGGTAATGAGCCATCTCCGGTCCGAGCGAAGATCTGCTCGAAGCTCTTGGTAACAAAGATCCTCTATTATATCAACTCTACCCCTGGAATAAGGTTCAGAGAATCCTCATTTCAGGTGCCTTGCAGAGGATCTGCCTGCAGAAGACGTCAACATCCGGGGAGTTTTCAATGCAGCCAAATATCTCGGGTCGCCCATTCTACTCTCATTGCCTCACTACCTCAACGCGGATCCCAAACTCGGGGCCCCCATAACGGGGCTGTCGCCATCGGATAAGAAGCATAATTTCTACATGGATGTGTACCCGGTAAAGCTCTTGGCTCTCGTTGCGATTCGCGGATCGATTGTGCCCTAGAACTTCAAGACTCATGCCGACTCCTCTTCCAGGAACTCGGTTTTGTTCTCGATATGAGAATCCGAGTCCAGGTGAATTTCCGACTCAAGAAGACCCTTCTCTCGAGCCCCATGGAAATTATCTACCCAATCTTCTGGCAAGAAATGGTGAGTCGCTGTGACCTAGATTGTTTGAAACCAAAGAAGCCATATCATCGCTGATTTGAGAGCAGATTTCTCTGAATATATTCCGAGTTCTTCACGCAAATCATCTTTGACCCATCCGCCTTTGTTTCACATTATTTCCGAATTCCCAGATGCTGCTCGATGAAGACAGCAAGGAAGCTGCGTCGATTGTCTACAAGAAAGTCAAATTTTCGGAGACGGCTATGTATTGGACAACTTTGGTTCTCGGCGCCTTGTTGATCTTGGCGGCAGAGATCTTCCTCCTCAGTGGAATATGTTCGAAAGATTCTTCAGACGATTACGGGGTGAGTGCGTTGAGACTTCCCTTAACGGACACCCATCCGATTGCACGGAACTCAAGAGGATCGGGCATGGGTCGCTCAAATAACGGAAATCTCCTCTCCAGGCGGCAGACGACGCTTACGTGACTTACAGTTCTCGTAACGATAGGAGCCGCGTCAACCTACGATAACCTGCGAAAGGAATCAGGAGCTCGGCCAATCGGAGGGAGTAGAGCGAGCGATAGTCGCAATCGTGGGCTGTAAATCGAAATGTATAGAGACCTCGACCAGAGAGATAATATAATTGAATGATTTTCTAGAAATGGAATTCGAGAAAACTACCGTTTGCGACTGATAGGTTCATAGCTGGGTGCTTCGCTCAACCCCGTGGGGTGATTCTATGCTTCGACTTTGCGGTCTCTGCCCGCCGCGAGATCTCAGCGTCTGATGACAGCGAACGATGAGTGAATCATCAGAATGATGAGTCGAGGGCTATTCAGGTATCTCGCGTTCTGATGCTGCGGGGAGCGCTTTGGACCTCAGGCGGACGGGGCCTCAGGACGATGATGTCCCTGCTCAAGACGAGCGCTTCAGCGTTGGGAGCCACTCTAGATTTCGGATTTTGCCGCCTTACGGCTAATGTGGAGCTGCACTCTACCCTGACCAGGAAGAGGGAGGGGAGTCGATAGGGGCGTGTTTTTGGAAATATTTGCCGCCTGAGGCTATAGCCTTCTCACCTACGTTGGAATCCGGCTTGGACCGGGACCTTTCGGGATCCGGGAACATTCGGGCCGTCAATGATGACTGAGGGCGGATGCATTCGGAAAAAGGTGTCAGATTCCATTCGTAACAGCACCTGTGCTCTTTTCGCAGCAGCCTTGAATTATCTGCTGCCTCCGGACTCGAAGGAGAACAGAAGCCAGTCAATTCTTGCGGCGGTCCCGGGACCTCCCCACCGCGCCCGTGCCCTTCCGGCACTCACAGACCCTATGACTCCTGTTCATTCCATTTTGTTTCTTCGAGTGTCCGAGGCATCGGCCTCCAGACTGCCTATTGGTACTGTTTGCTCACCTAGCTCTCTTCTCAGGTGTAGTCTATCCGAAGGCGATCCTGGAGGCATCGTAGGTAATATTCTCTTCTGACATGCGGCGGACACAGCTGCCTCGGCTCAATTAAGTGCCGGGATCGACCCGGACTTGCCTCCAACAAGGTTGTCGTGGAGCTTCAGTGATCATTCTCCCTGCGCGTCATCGGGAAATCGATTTGAAAAAACAGAAATATTTTCCCCAAGACGGACTAAGATAGAGTTGCCCCCGATGATTTGAGTCTCGACGATTTCTTCAGGGCTGCGGATAAGGCATTCTATCTCGACCTCGATTGGATCAAGCTGTCCCCGAGGGCCTCGGGACGAATTCTGCAGAATTGCTCGAAATGAGAAAAACATTTCAGATGCGCCTCTTCGAGAAGGATGGATTTCGGACGGCCTAGGAATAATTTTCAAGCAACCACTTCTTCGAGAAAGTTAAGAAAGCGCGGAGATTACGCTGTAGAGGCGGCGATATAGAGGAAAAAGCACCTCCTAAAGGTCTTCTTGCACAAGGGCAAGGAAGCTGAGAACCCTCAACGACACCCACCCCCATCCCCATACAAGGTCCCTACGGGCACGTCCACGATAGTGAGCTTCGTTGCGCGAGCTCAAAGTCGAGCAAAGTTGCCGGACGATGGCCTGCGCGGCCGTCGAGGATCGTTCCATTCCCGCAGGCCTGGCCCTCGCACGAAATCACGGTACCGGAAACGTCCGTCTGCCATGACGAGCTGGCCAGTGAATTCTGGACGGACTTTCACCCTATCGAGCGCGCCCGATACGGATCGGTATTCCACGTCACGATGTCCCTGAGAAGTTCCCGACAGAAAGTCAAATTAAACCTTCGAATTCGATCAGAAATGATTGACGTCCATGAAAAGTCAAGGTCTGAGCTCAGAACCGAAGACATAACTTTCCCATGAGGTTGAATTATTAGTCTGGAATAGATACATGGCCGTCTACCTCCACGTTGATATCTTGAACGTAATCCATGACAGAGCGCGGACAAGGAAAATCGAGCTCCTCAGTCAAGACATCTGACTCCACTTTATCTAAACGCTCCCGGAGCCGCGCCGAATGGACAGCAAATAGCCTGACGGGATCATTCAAGGATGAGTCTCAGTTCTTCAAGCTCTTCCGTGCCCATATTCTGCGCTCTGGAACTTGACTCAGATCATGAACAGAAGTGACCGAAGAGATTCTCCAGGCGGTTTTGCCCGAGAATGCGGTCTCTAAAACTTCGAGTCCAGAACTTCCCGTGAGCAGCGCGCACGATTCCTTTCGAAATCACGAGTTCTTGCGCCGAAGGACTGTGGCGAAGCATTCAAACGGCTGCCTGATGATAAGTGACGTTTCGTGTGGTCCTCGGAATCGATTTGCCTCGAAATGAACCTAACTGTGCGTAAAATAGGTATGTCATCCTCCCTGCTGCGTGCCTACCAGATTGCGCTATCCTCACTTTCCTTCTGGAGAGAACTCCTGCGTACGGAAGATCTCATTTCAGCGTTAGTGATTTGCTGCAGTCTGTCGGGTGTTGGATTACTGTTGGTGAGCCAAAACACCCCGGCAATGGTCAGATATATCGCAGCCAGGAAAGTCATTTTATCCGAAGGATCCGAGGCAGCGAAAAGTTTCGGAGCACCTCCCCTTCCCTCTCATCAGCGGATCTACTTCTTCAACTTGAGGAATAAGAAACAAGTTCTAGAAGGAGGCAAACCCATTCTGCAGGAAATGGGTCCATACGTTTTCAGGCAAGTTTGTCTTTACGAGGGCCCCTTTGGCGTTTCTTCGAAGATCTGATGGAACCTGGCGGTGAATGCCTCAGACCTGAAGTCAGATTGGGGCAACCTTGCTCCCTTGAGAATCCCTCGTCCGTAAGATTCCATCCCGTTCCCCGATTCGTGGTCTCCCGGATTCCCGATCTCTGATTTGACGGTAATTCTCGGCCGCCTCCCCTTCGAGGCGATCTGGAAGAATGAAGATTCTAGACGGAGATGCGATGGTCAAACCTCGATCCACCATCGTATCGAAATCGCTCCTCAGACCGAGGAAGATTGAGTTGACAGTCGAATAATTGAGAATCGGCGGACCGAAAATCGGTAAATGGGGACCACCGTTCGAAATTTCCGCGCATGCGAAATCGACAGATCCTTCTCTCTCAGAATCGAGTCCGAGAAGACACTCAGATGGGAGGGAAACAAGATCCTCTACGAGCCGAAGATGACCTATTTTTTCGAGGAGTCGGAATCGGAGGGCAAGCTCAGCGATGTAATCACAACGCTCAATCCCGGCTCAATGACGTTCGCGAGCTTCGACCCATCAATCGTGGCAAATATTTTCGACACTGCGACTGTAGGGGAGTTTTTATTTGACGGGTCAGTATCTCTTCCTGTCTCCGACTCAACGGCAATACCCGACAAATTGATAAAAATAATTCAATACCTGAGGGAGATACCCTCACCACGTATGCATTGAACCACAGCGTGAAATCGAGTGACGGGGGCGCCTACGGGTATTATAAAGGAGGTAATGGAACGAGTGGAAAAACTACCGAAGCCTTCACCGGACAAGGAGGTCACATCGAAGACCTGAATCGCATCGTCTCCTACGATGGCGAAACGTGAGTCCAAGATTGCTGCATGTTCAGCGACGACATCGGTTCCGGATGAGAGTTCTCAACTTATATTGTTATATTTTTCTCTTCTCCTTGCAGGGGTCTGAATTGCGAGAAGTTTCGCGGAACGAGTACGTTTGCGCGCGAATTTGAAATTTTTGACTTGCGCCGAAGTTTACTGATCCTAAATCTCCGGTGTATTCCAGATGGCGAAAGATACCCTCCTTTTTCTATTCCTCCGCCCAAATTGACTTTCTTCAATCCACTCTTATGCCGACCCTGGGATCTTCATTATACCGGACCGGTCAAAGTCGGTGATTTGGATTGTATTCGGTATTCGGCTGGTCCTGATTTCTTTTCGCGCACATTCAACGAGAAATTGGACGAGTTAGTGTGCCCGGGGAATTAAGACCGCAATGATGTGTTCGGAAAAAAACCAACCGCGATTTTCCGCCTCCGAATGGGCCCTTCAAAGTGATCATCGATCCTTTCAGGTGTATCGAGCTGGGTCTTCCAAAGGAAGATGTCGGGATTCGGGGGATTTTCAATGCTGTGAAATGTCTTTATACGCCTGTCATGTATTCTTTGCCTCATTTTCTTAACGGGGACCCCGGACTCCGCCAGAACGTTTCCGGTTTGGAGCCTACGTCGGATAAGCACAGCTTCTACATGGATGTCTACCCGGTAATATCCGAAATCTCGATGCGATTCCGAACCGACTGAGATCCCATTGCGTTTTAATTGCTTTGACCCTGCCTGCTCAATCCCATTCCAGGCATTGGGCGTAGTACTAAACATGAGAGCTCGACTCCAAGTGAATTTCCGCCTCAAGAAGACAGGAGACGATGCGGGGAAATCGAAGCTGGAGGAAGTTATCTATCCGGTCTTTTGGCAGGAAATCGTAAGTGAGCCATAGGATGTAGCTATGACTATCGGACATAAGAAGTAATCACGGGCGGGTCCCAGCAATATCGCGGAAGAATTTCACGATTTGGGAATTCTAGATGTTGCTCAAAGCAAACAGCGAAAAAGCCGCAGCGATGGCCTACAAGAAAGTCGTGCTCTCGGAGAAGGCATTGTTCTGGACGAGCCTGACGTCCGGCTTCTTATTGGTTTTCGCTGCTGAAGTCCTCCTCGTAATTGGAATCTGCTCGAAGACCTCATCAGATGATTACAGGGTAATTACCTACGCATGGTTTCATCTCACTGATTCAAACTCAATAACACCAGAGTCTGATGAGCATCTGAAGCTCCCTCACACTTCTCTCATCAGGTTGGTAATGATGCCTACGTCACGTATTGCGCCGAGAACGAAAGGAGCCAGGTGAACATGCGAAGGCGACGTCCCGAAAACGGTCGGAATGCTTCGACCGACCACCGGAACGGCGTAGAATAAAAGCACTGATATCTCCCATTTCTAATTTCGCTCTCATTGGGACCGTGTCAAGCCGAGGATCATATCTATCAGTTTACTGAATTGCGAGAATTCTCGGGAAATATAAATTCAGTCTCTTATCGAGGAGCTTGATCCTCAAAACACAAGGAAATCGTGTCGGATGCGGCCTTCTCGTGCTTCTCGCAGCTCGGCCGTGTTTCAATTATTACGAAATGATTCCTCAGAGCCTTTTAAATGTGTCGAGCATCGAATTCATCAGCTGGACCTATTCATGGCTGCCTCGCTCGGAACTCTCCGATGAAAACTAGGACGGAGCCCATCAAAGAGCATCGCTGCTGACCCGGGTCGGAAGTCCGATTCGCTGACTAGCTCAATCGAAACCGCGGCTTAGAGCGCAAGGGTCCTTCATTTTATTATATGCTTTCGATGTCCACATCGGAAGATAGCGGGTCGATTCGGTACTCAGTCTCCGAGGTGCCGTTATTCATGAGCGGAGACTCCTGCTAGATTCGATAAAGAAAGCGCTTATCGGCCGAATGTACCGTCGATCATCGGGTAATTTTGTTTCTCAATCATTTGAAGGGAAACGGATAAGATAGCGGATGCCCGGAAGGAGTCAAAGTTCGAATGCTTTTCGTGAATACTCCCCGATATCGGGATATCTGTTCATCTGCGTAAGATGCTGAGCCTGAGCTCTCGGTTCGCTACTCAGTCGCCGATCGCGAATTTCCGAGAGAGCGCGTTCCCGAGCTCTGGATGATTGCGGGAGATTGAATCGACAAAACTCTACGGAGACGGGGACGCATCTCGCGCTGGGAACCCTAGGCTGGCCTCGCATTGCTTGAGACGGGACGCCTTGAGCCCGTCTTTCTTTCCGGGTGGAGGGTTAGTCGAGGATCCCGGAACCAGGAGGAGGCTGCCAATCGGAACTTCTGCGCCGTACCCCTCTCCGCCCCCGCCGATCACTCACTTCTGCGCCAGGGCACCTCGTGAGGGGTGGACTGGGCACCGCTTACTGAGAAAAAGCTCCGGAGTTGCCGCGGATATGATCTGAGTGAGATCCGGACGCGTTTTGGAGGGCGCCGAGCTTCCGCCGACCATTGCTCGTCGGGACCAATCTGATGAATTGGAGGGTTTAATTGAAACGGAAATGACGAGCTTTCCAACGATTGAGCGATGGTGGATCAGATGGATGACTAGCTTCTCGTGTAGGGATGGGACCCACCGTCTACACCGCGGCTGGCGACGGAGGGTCTCTGGCGCGCACGAGGAGTTTGAAAGAGAGAAATGTCGGCGTTCCTCCAGGTAGTAGGAGGAGCAGGAGTAAATTTCGAGGGGTGAACTCCGCGGAGATTTGGCGAGTTCCTCGGATCTCCTCCCGTCCCGAACGCATCCGCGTCGGTCGGCGACATCGACGAGTAGATGTGTCAGACTCGCATCTCTGATGTTTCCGGGAAACCACTTTCTTATTTCCCCCAACGCGTCGTCCGCTGAATCGGACCGGCGTTCCTGCAGACGCCTATGAGGAGCTTTCGAGATCTTTCCACCAACAGCACACCGGCTGCCAAATTCAAAGAGTATAGCGAATGAGAGAGCGGATGTCTATTTGGCTTTCGATTCGGGATTCGCGTCCCATATTGTCGTTAAGGGAAGCTCTGCGATTTCTACCATTGACTTCATCTTATCTTCGCGAGACCGGGTTCTCGGCTATGACGGGTTCGAGAACCAAAACTCGGAACGGATTGGTCCCATCAGACTCTCTGCGTCTTAAGGTTGCTGCACAGAAAATCGATGTCGAAGACGTCATCCGGAAATAAGAGAAACTAGCCCGTACCTTCGATGGGCATTCGATTTTACAATACAATGATTTAAGGAATCGTTATATTCCGCAGAGAGAAGCTTTTCTAGCAGAAAAATTCGCCGACCGTGGGAGGAGACGAGGGGACCAGGCTCGAGGCAGACCCGGGAGAAAAAAGTCTGAGAACCACTGTACCCTATCACTGAGCGTTCCCGACACCTTCGAAGACCGGCCAATGACTGGACTCTTGGAATCGGTGCTAAGATTCCCCGAAGGAAAGCGAATACAGATCCTTCCAGGTTGCGGTGATCTCGAAAGGGTAGAATACTTCTAATATCTACTGGAGACAGATGGGAATCCTTCCCGAAATCAGAGCTGCAGTGAATGAATCACGACTAGAAACTCGATCAGAGGAAAAATCTTTTTTCCGAATGTTTGCGCGATCTTCGGATAGCCCGGGGATCTTTTTGAGTTGGAGGAGAGAGGCGGCCGCATCGAGAGCAGGACTCCTCTGTTGAAGTCCGAGGATCGAGATCGAACCAAGAGCTCGGAGCCTCCCCGACGAGAGGGAGCGCGGTCTGATCCGGACTTCGTCTAACTTCGTGTGATTCCGAGAAAAACTTCGCGAAGCTCTATTTCCGAGCAAAGAAAGCGAGAGCGCGATCTGAATCCTCCTCCCTGTTCTCACTTGCCCCACCCGAGTCCAAAACACTCGCAACGAAGATACAAAAGGATGCATTCAGAAAAGATGTTCACTTCTCGTTCCGCACTTCTATTGAGTACGTGGCGATCGACGAAGTTCTAAGCCTAAGAACTCCGTTTGGCAAAACGAGACCTTACTCAGTGAGTGAATCTCTGCTGCGAGGAAAATCAGCGAACAAGACGAACCTACAAGCAAGGAAATCATCGCAAGTGTCCCGCGTTCGATCCGATCCCAACCGCACAATGGAGCTACTCGCACTTCCGAATGAGATCCTCGACATGATCATGTCTTATTTGGACCTGGATTCGAGGATCTCGCTCGCATTTCGCAACCGCAGACTCTACGAGCTTGTCCTCGCTTCGCTCGATCCTCTGACGGTCAGGGAGCTGACCCCCACCCTCCACAAAGTGATCTTCGACGCCGGCCCTTTCCTGAGAGCCCTCGATTTGTCCAACTGCACGGCTCCGCGAAAAGAGCTGAAGCAGCTCACCTCCAGATGTCTCAATCTCCGCGAGCTCTCTGTGGTGAACACGAAGCTCACCTTCCCAAGTCTACGGCGAATCATCTACAACTTAAAGCACCTCGAAACCCTCAGTTTCTCCCTGATGAAGCGTCCGGAGGGCGGTGTGCTCGCTCTCCGCCAAGACAAACGAGCGTTCCCCTCGCTGAAGAGCATCTACATGGAGATTCGTCCGGTGAACTGGGCAATGGAGATCGTCGTGGATCTAATCAACAAGAGTGAGTCGATCGAACGAGCTCACGTGAGTCTGATCGGGAAACAGATCTCCCGGGCGGAACCCTTGTTCCTCAAGATAACCATGCTGCCGGAGCGGTTGGCCACTCTGCACACGTTCGTGCTGTCCATGAATCGGTCCAACTGCTTGACATTCCATCACTGGTTCCTGAGGAGAATATTCGCCTCAATATTGGACGACGACATGGTGGAGTGGTTTCGCCGCGAAAGAGAATGCTACATTTACGAAAGGGGTTGGCTCAACGGACTACGACCGAGGGAGCCCGTTGTCCACCCGCAATTGCAGCTTCTCAACCGGGTGGATCACGTGAAGCTGCTGGACACGGAGTCACTCAGCGATCCGCAGAAATTTCCGTGGGGAAGGCCGACAGAGATCCGCTTGGATTTCTCAGCCTCGTCACTGTCGCCGCTGAACATCTTCAAGGCGCTCGAGTCGACGTTGACGAATCTGACGGAGCTCGATCTGGTGGATTGCCACGTGCGCTACTCGAACGAGGACCGCCGCAAGTTCTTCACCTCGTTCCCGTCGTTGGAAGCTCTCGCGGCCCCTGTTTGTTTGATTTTGCACTTGAATAACCGGTGCATCGTCCATGCAAACAGGTGCCTAGCCACGGAGTACATCGAGGCTTTCGACAGCGCCTTCGCAAAGCTGAAATTGAAGAAGCTCTTTGTGAAGGGCAACCTCGAGAGAGTGAACTTACGGAGGCCGAGTACTCGTCGCTGGATGCATTGCAGAGCGTGCTGGTCGAAGCTGAGGTCGAGCAATCTCCCGCGGATCGGAGACCTCCAGCATCTAGAGGAGCTGACCTTCAACGGTGTCCACGTCTCGAATTCAGCCTACTTGAACATGGCCAATTCGAGAGCGACGACAGTGCGCCTCATGATGAACAGGGGCAGCCGCCTCGGCAATCTCAGAGAATTTCTGGAAGATTGCCCCAGCGTGCAGAACCTGAAACTGGCGTTCAGCGACGTTCCGTTGCACGATGCAAATATATGGGACGCGCTTAACAATACCGCGAACCTGAAGCAATTGTGCCTCGAAACAGATGAGCGTCAGATCATCATGACAGACAGAATCCGACGAGTTCTTCCCCGACTGCTCCAAGGATTGGCGACGCTCCATTTGCATGGTCCTCCCACCGAGTTCGCCCTCAATGTCGGTAGCTTCTTGGCTAATCCCGTGTTCGAGGGCTACCCTGGAAATGTGATAAACACGCCGGCTCTGTCTATGAGCGAGATTCAGTTCGGCGATGTGGCTCAGCAGACACCAGGTCGCAGTCTCTGTTATGCGGAGAATTTCATCGGACTGGTGAAGCCAGCAGGCTGGGACTGAAACGGATTCGAGCGAGGCATGCTCCGATTTTCATCGGAAGTGGGATGCCATGTCGCATCACATCCATCAACGACATTCGACAAGTCATTGAGATCAGAAATCGAGCGGAACAAATCTCAACCCGGTTCTTCGAACTTGTCGAGTGTAGTCTAGTCAATCATTCAGTCCTAAAGCTTTTCACAGACTCCAGGCGGTCCCCTAGATGCGCGGAGGTTGTTCTAGTCATGTCAATAAATTCAGTACTACCAATAGAGAAAGAAAGCAAGATCATTCCTTCGCCTGACCACGACTCGCCGCCGATCGCTCATTCCATCATGGAATGAGCTCGTTATTGGCGAAGAATGATAAAAGCTTGAAGATGCTCTGTCTTCTTTGATGGAGAGATCACTATTAAGGAAACGATAAGCCCGGATTCTGCTCTCGGGAAGAGCGTTCACGTGAAGCGAACCTGACTTGGTTTTCCAAGAGCTGTGGCGGAATTCATTTCTTCACAAAGAATAGAATCGGTGTCGTCACCTTTTCGTTCAATAACATCAAACGGAGCCCAGTGTGACGAAAGCTCCGAGTTGTTCGAGTCCGGGCTTTACGGAGATATGGAGCCCTTTTACCGTATACCAGGGTTTCCGTGGAATGAACGCGGATTATCAGTTTTAGATTCTCCGTCGAAACTCTCCAATGAGCTCAGTGAGTTACGCAGCCTTTACCCAATCCAGCAGTCGGCGATCGAGATCGCTGGGAGACGCATCTCAGCGACTGACCATGCGAGTAACTGCTTGTAGAGCAGGTGAGTGTTCGGACACACAAATCCATGCGTCCCTTCCGAGCTGGAGCGAGGTGACTTCTCCTCCGGAGCGGGAGACGATATCCGCAGCGGAAGCCAAGTCTACCTGAAGCGGAGTCCTCCCTCGCGGGAATTACCTGGTGTCTCCTCGGAAGCGTTCGATACTTGAAGGGAGACCGCTTCTGACGAGCCAGGATTCCGCGCGGCCTTCGTTGCTCAGTAATACTTCTCTGGTTTCCAATGCTGCGTCGGTCGGTATGATCATGCCAAGGGTATAATTCACAGTTAGCGTGCTCACCCTGCTGCTCTTCGCCGCCGGCTTCATCACGCTCGCCATCCTCACACCGAGAATCATCCACAAAATCGCCCTCACGGAAATTCCCGTGACATATGGCAGCGACTCGGCGAGCATGTACAGACGGTTGCCGGTGAACATCACTCAGAGGATCTTCATGTTCAACCTCACGAATAGAGATGAGTTCCTGAAAGGTGCTACACCAGTTCTCCAAGAGCTCGGACCATATACGTTCATGTGAGTTCATCTTCACGATCAAGAGCCGGTTCCGAGGTTGTTTGATGAAGTCTCTTGAACGATAAATCTCCTAGGAGAGGCTCCAGAAAGCAGCCGATGTCCGCATCTAAGCTGTCCGATATCAAGAATGAGTCAAATCGATTCAGGGTAGAGTTCGAGTCTAGAATCACCAGTCGTCCTCGAGGACAAACGACGTGAATATCACATGCTAACATCGCGCTCTGACGCCTTGGCGGGTGTTCCCTAGGCATCCGCATGGAAGTTTCAAGTCTGATGCCTTGTCCGCTATGCCCCACAGAGCGGATCCTGAGTTCGGGAGAGCTGTCCAGTCAAATTTAACTTTGATCAAGGTTTCATAGAAGCGCATGGACTTCGCGGCATCCTTTGCGGCCTCACTCGTGCCTCCAGCTCAAATGATCGAATGTTTTATGTTTTGATGGTCGAATTTATAAGACTTGCCAGGGTGAATATTTCTCGAGTTCCCCTAATTAATTTATCCTCCTCATTGCGTGGAGAATGGACCCTGCAATCATGTGATAGTATGTGGCATCAGACTTGATCCGGGGCTCAATTCGTTGTGCGATCATTGACATTATAATTCTATCTAATCTACGAGTTTGCCCTCCACAAAAACTTATCTTGTTCCAAATCCCCGCTCAGTTAGACACCCTTGGAATAGGCCCGTGACGAATGGAGGTTATGAAATCAGTACACCCCGCAGATCCGTGTGGCAGAAGGACATGGTCTGGGACGGCAGCCTGATAAGGTTCAATGAGTCGAGAACTTTCTTCTTCGCCCCCGAACTATCGAATGGATCACTTTCTGATGAGATAATTCATGCCGACCTGGTTTACTTGACCGCTGTCCGGCTAGTCGAGTCACTGAAACAGCCGTGGAAATTGATAGCGGAAGGAATCCTCGAGTTCAAGAAAGTCCTGAATCGTCACACTGTTGGAGAGCTTCTCTACGACGGGTGAGCGCTTGGAGTTATGGCAAACGCGAGAATGCTCGAGTTGGTCTGTGACTACTCAAGACCGATTTTGACTCCCCCCCCCCTCTCCAGGTACGTGGATGAGATCGCAAAGTACGCAAAATACTTCATCAAGGGTCTCCCCGTGATCGATGGGAAAGTAGGCTTTCTCCTCGGCCAGAATGGATCTTTCGCCGGCGAGTTCTCTGTCTTCAACGGGATGAATGGCACCCTGGACAAACTGAATGAGATCACTTCCTACGAGAACTCTCCGTGAGTCAGAACTCCGTTGAATCAGCAAGAACCGTTGGGCGTGCGTCCGAGCGGATCGTCCATTCCACGCGACGAGATTTTTAGGAATGCTCCGTACACGGAAGAGGCTAATGCAAACATTTCCGCAGAACTGTCCCTTACTATGGAGACGATTGTAATTCGCTCTACGGAACGAGTAAGTTCCCCTGTGAGCCGGGATCGTTGTTACTGACTCACGTTCTATCGAATGACTCGAACGCCTTCTTCCTCAGACGGAGAGCTGTACGCTCCCTTCATGGACTTACCGGAGAAAACGATCTCCATCTTCGATACGCAGTTGTGCAGGCCATGGAATCTCTACCTGAACTCTACGAGTGAGTACGACGGAATCATGGAGGCCAATTACAATTCTGGCAGCGATCTGTTCACCGCAACTGGCAATGCGACCATCGACGCGTAAGAGTCTCCCGACCCTGGTATCGATGAAGCTTGTATATGTACAAGGATCGGAATCTCGTCTGTCGATCTCCATCGAGGATGTGCGAGCTTCCTGAAATCGTACAAACGTTTTCAGCTGCTACGAGAAGCGTTCCAGTCACATGAGGGGAACATTCGATGCATCGACTTGTCACTTCGATCAGGACATAGTTTTGAGCCTCCCGCACTTCCTGAAAGGGGATGAGCGGCTCTTCGATAATGTCAAGGGTTTAGCGCCCGATCCTGCAAAACACGATTTCGGAATCAGCGTATCGGTGCGTTTGTCGACAACCCTCTTATGGCTATCATAGATCTACTCATTCCTGAGGATACGGAGCTCACTTCCGATTTTTGAGTCCATTCACGAACACCCTTCTTCCCGATCTGACCTTCAAGCGAATTCGCAGGAGCTTGGCGTCGTGACGAACTTAAAAATCCGAGTTCAGATCAACACCTTCCTCTCCTCGGATCCGATGCTGAAAAAGAAATTCGTGTATCCGATGTTCTGGCAAGAATTCGTGAGTTCCATCCATTCTGTATCTTTTCCGCTCGAATCTTCTCGGCTAATGAAGACTCTCGCTAATCCACGTTTTTCGGGATTCCCGGGAACGCTCAGGTTCTGGAAGACGAGGACCGAGCGACGCTAATGGGCAAGCTTTGGGAGAAAGCAGTTCGCCCAAAGCTTTTGCTTCGAGGAGTCGCCCTCGGAGTGGGCGCTGCATTCTTGATCGCTCTCGTCTCTCTCCTCGTCGTTTTCCTCGTCAGAGACTCGAAAGTATGTTGCTCTGCTCAGCCGTCGCGGAAAGTCATGACATCCTCGATTTATGAACATCGCTCAATGATTGAACTGACCCATTAGATCACAAGGATTCAGAGTTCTCGTGGAATTTCAGACAGACGACTCGGCGCCATTGATCCCTAATCAGGAGCAACCTTTAGGCGAAGACGAAGTAGATGTCGAGCCGGAAGACTCGGACACAGGCCCCGACCCCGAAAAGTAGCCGAGGCATCTTTCCTCAAATGGCCCGACCTTTGGTTCGAATGAACATCGGGTTTGCTCCCTGGAACGTTCTTTGTTGGATACCTTCTAGGGTCTTTAGGCCTCAGACTGGCTTCGATATGATCATTGCGAGGAGAAAATTCCGTGGTTCAGGAGGAAATCGGGTCTCTGAACCACGTTGGACGGACTTTTCTCTGTCCCCTCGAGGAGCGCAGTGTGTTTTTTTGTGAAAGAAGACGAGGCGTTCAGCCGTGTGAACGATGATGATAGATTACTTTCTTTATTGTTTCCCGCCGTCATTTATCTACGATGTTGGAGCTTTGCTGACAGAAATGCTCATGCTCTCTGCGAAGCTCTAGTCGACGCTGCCTATCGTGACATAATACACCACAAGGTACAGAGATAGAAACAGCGCAGAGGATACTCGCTGCAGGACCGTCAGCAACCGAGGCCAAGTCCGAGTGGCCTTGAACCTTTCCTCGAACCTTTCCTCGATCACGGGCAGGTCCTCCAGACTCTGCCCAGCCGGAGGATTTTGCATCTCGGCCTCCTCGGTGGCATCGGAAATCAAGGCTTCTTCACTCAGTAAATAGCTCTGGACCGATTCCACCTTTAAGAGGCGATCCAAGAGAGGGTGTGAGGGGAGCTCTATCGTTTCGCTCTCCTCGAGAATCATGATAAGGACCGCGAGGAAAATAATGAAAGCCGTGAAAAACATGAGATCCGATGCAAACTTCAGAATGAGGGGAGTTGTAGAAGAAGAACGCAACATGATTGAGTAATAATTGATCGTGTACGTCAAGAGCAAGAGTCCGATCAGGGGCAGAGCGAACTTTTTCGGGGAAGTCAGCGGCAGCCAACAAGAGAGCGCAGTCAATGCGGTTCCGATACACATCGGGATGACGAAACGATGGAAATGGTGAGAGAATCTCCTCTCGATCACGAGATCTAATTGTAGAGTGTAATCGAAGTAATCGTCAAAACTCCCCGGTCGAAGACGGAAATCGGCAGCGAGAAGACGCCATTCCGCGTATCGACTGGTTATTTTCTCGTAGTCTCGATGGAGGACAGGTTTCAGATTGAGTTTCTTGATGCCGTACGTCGTGGAGCCAAACAGCACCGAGCACTGGTGTCTGTCCACAGGAAAGGCGTACATATCGGTGTCGCAGCTCACACTCATGGTTTTGTATTCACAAAATCCCAAGGTGCCATTAGAGAACAGTCGTATGGGGCTCCGGCGTCTGTTGTAAGGGTTCATGAAATTCACTCGGTTGAAGATTTCTATATCCGGGACCCACATTTCGTAGCTGAGAAGCGTCACGGATTGGAGACCGTTGAAATCGTTCGGATCCCATTTGAGGATGTCAGCGAACCAGGATATGCAGGTCTGGCCCTTGAACGTAGCTTCTCCTAAAGATAAAAAGTTGGGAGATGCGAAACACATTGGGTGGGCGGGGTAGTCCGGACATTCGGAATCATCGATATTCGACCGTTATCAATCCTTTATCAAACTTATACTCACGTCCGTCAAGCTGGATAGAGAAGATGTCCGACACATCGACAGTTACGGTAACATCGATCGTTGTGTTCTCGGAGAGAACTGGTCGCACCAAGCGATTCCTGAGTCGTGACCCAGTCATCCCGAGTGCCTTTCGGAGTCTTTGGATATCCGGGAGGTGCTCGTCTTGGACACTTGGGGACGCGAAACACGAGATCACGATGATAATCCAGAGAACTGAAGTATCGTACAGCGCCATCATGGGAGCACCTGTGAGACCGCCAGACAGCTTCTCTGACCGATTCCCGGGGGGCGGATCCATTCCAGCTTGACCATAGGCGAATCATCCTTTCTCCCGCGAGAAACGAGCCATTCGCTCGTGAGACGAGATTTCTTTTGACAGCGAACACCTAGGTTTTCACCAGGGCTTGGACCTCGGGTGCGTTCGCTCGAGCTTGAGCGTTCGCGAAGATTATCCATTCGTGATGTTGAACCGTGACTTCGCATCCACAGCCCGCCTCGCGATCCGCAAAAGGCGGTGTTCCGCGGGCGCCGGGCTCCTTTGCCAGAGAGATGACTTCGGCATATTTGCATTGCCATGTAATTCCCCTCCCGTCCTATCTCCGAGCATCCTAGGTCAGCGGTCCCTGGACTGTGGCTGATGAAAATCCTGACACTAATCACAGGACCAGGATGCCATGTTGATGACCGGGACATCGGAACGGGTCTCGGGAAATTTTATGCAGTCCGGTAAAGAGGTCGAATTTTCAATCCTTGTTGTACCGGAACCCAGATTGTCTGTTCATAAATATGACAGTCTGTGGAAGATCGAGCCCGCGACTCTTCAGTATCCATCAAGTTCCATACCAATGATATCTATTGTATAGATTTTTCTAATTTTAACAGCAAATTGGAGTGCGCCCCAAGCGAGACTTGAAAAATTGTGGAGCCTGCTTCTCGATCAGAAGAAATACCGCGTTTCAGAGTTTCCGCTCACTGCGGGCCTCGCGAAGAGGTCGCAGTCTGGAGATGTGTGCTCCACCCTTAAGAAGAGGAATGCCCGACGCCAGACTCTGAAAAGCCAGAATCCATGAAGCCTCCGGGGGTCTCATCAGCCGGAGTCCCGGGAGCCATGATGCGATGAGCTGAGATGCTCAAGGGCCAGAGAAGACCTCCCTCGATTCAGACAACGCATCGCAGCAAAACATTGATGCATTGAAGCATTGAAGCAGCGTGATTTGAATGGACTTCAAACTTGACGGAATATCTCGCTTCGGTTCCCGAATACGGTCTACTCGGGGAACGATCTCTCTCCAGAGGAGACGCGGGATCATTGATGAGCAGACGAGGTGTTCGGGATCTTCATCGGAAGGGCTAGAGGACGACGCGATACATCGGAGGTGGGCATAGTCCCGCGCACAAGCACCGTCGGAGATAATGTAGTTTCCGGGAAAGAGGGGGGGGGCAGAGGGAAGCACCTCGGGAAAGCACACCAGGAGAAGAGATTCCTACTTGATTTCTCTCTCACGCGACCTACCCTTGACATCGGCTCCGTCTTGAGCACAGATACACGGGAAAAATATTTGCTATCAAGAGCCCCTAATGTACCGCTTTGTCCATCTGCATTGGGAAAACCATGGATTCGGTGATGCTCGGGATGATATTCATTCCGAACCAACATTCAAATCTCTCGACCAGAATCCGCGACGGAATTGGAATCTGACATGTAGACTTCCAGCTGGCAGGTCCATTGATTGTTGGTCAAATCACTCGGGACCCCGAATGTTCCAATAACCAGATTATACGCATGTGATCCCACAATAAGGGAGACGCTTTCAAAATCAATCGTTCTCCATCATTGGATGCGCAAATGGCGCGGCTTCCTCGGAGTTCAGCGTAGAACTCGATTGACGCTCGTAGGTGGAAGAATCTTGATCATGACATGAGCAGCGGTCCGATTGCATTACAATCATCATTCAAGTCTCATGACGATCATTGTTCGAGCGCAATCGTGAGACTGCTCAATGTTGCGTCACTTGAGTATGTTCCGCGACCTCCGTCCACTACCACCGAAAAGTAGCGTGATAGAAGGAGGATTCCATGCGACCATTTCTCCAGATAGAGTCCTCTTCTTTGGATGATCATAACTCCAAAATTATAAGACTGATCATAATTAATGTCATCTCCTGTTCGGTTGCATTTCGGGATGCTACGGGGACAGAATCAGACCGCAATCGGTAGTGGATCCAGCGCCGCCGATTGCGTGTGTTGCGGGAGCGTGAATTCGACTCTTCGACATTCGCATCATGCCATCTTAGTTTTTCGCTGAACCTCCGCCGGCCCGTAGGAGAATCCCGTCGGCGCAGTTGTCGCCAAAGACCTTCGGATTGTGATCGATCAATCGTTCAGCTCGCTCCGCCGGTTGCTAACGGTGTGCTTTCGATCGTCTCGGTGGTGCTTCCTCCTCTTCTTCACGAACCGCGGCGGCGAACACTCTCTCACCGACCGATCTTCCCGGCCAGTCCCAGCTGTTAGTGTTTGTTGTGGTCGTCTCCGTCGACCGCGGACCAGCGTGCGTCGTTCTATTCATCGGTCTTAGGAGTTCATGTGAGGCAGTTATGCGACTACGGTTCCTGTCGTCACCGAGCCGTCGACTGCCTGCGTCATAGTGCAGTGTTCTAGGCCGTGGCGCAAATTTCTGTGTTTGGCGTCGGCTTTGGATCGAATCGCGATCATCCCTGACGGATGCCGTTTCCCGCAATCACCAATCGACGACGAAGATCCCCGCGAGATCGCATGTGTTTGATGTGGCATCTGTGCGTCCTGAGATTGTTTCGGTGTCGAGAGGAAAGTTGAACATCCGCTTTGTGTCGACGACGTGAGCATGAGAGAAGGACCGTAGTTGGCGCCCAACGATGACGCTCCCGCCGTGTCTGGTCACAACGTGATCCGACCACAGGATTTAATTGTGCCATTGAAGAAGGAAGGAAGAAATAGAGACCAGCGCGCTCTGTGGTCGGTTATATCAGTCTTTGCGAACGCATACCTGCGGAACCGAAGCATCCGCGATGGCTCGATCGTGCGTTTTCCGAATCGGTGAGTTCGTATAACAGACTTCAGATGGGACTTCGAGCGGATAAAGCTCGTCTAGTTGTAGCAGTGATGGTTGTGGTCACCACTGGCGTGAGCGAATCCCACGTTGAGCGGCTGAGCGGACACCATGGGGATCCTCTCCTGAGCCATTCTCTTTGCTAAGAACGATATGAGCTGAAGAAGTTCAAGGTGTACTGAAACTGTACGGTGATTCTTATCACAGGGCTTCGACGACTTTAGCCATTCTGGTGCTTTCCCACCAATTGCAAGGGACAGCCTTCAGGAGAAATTGTGAACGACGCGACAGCGCAGCAGAAGCTTAGCTTCCGAACTCCGGGGTCTTTCTCCACGACTCGACGCAGATCGCGCGCCGCTCCGCGTGAAAAGCGTGCGTCGATCGTTCAACTCCTATCTGGGACGCTCCCTGTCCTGTTCCGGAGCCGGATCTCTTTCGACTGAATCTTGGGAGGATCTGCTTGGTTTTCTAGATTATTAGCCTGCTCGAGGAAAGACGTCAAGATGTTTCCTGCGTTTCCACGCGTGTGAATAATCCGCATGCGATCGGCCTGGGGAATGTCGGAATTTCATGGAACAATGTCGAGTTGTCATGGAGATTAACAATAATTCAGGAATCGATCCGTAACGAGATGCGGTCGGATTGATTGTTTATGTTTCGGCGGTTCTGACAACGCAGGCGGACGGTTAGATTTTTCTCTGCGCATCATCTGGTCGACTTGCCTCTACGGGAAGAGGAGAACCCCAATATTATGATTTGCTTCTCGTGTCTCTTTCGTTTGGCATCGTATCGCGTTTTTCCCCCGGCAGCGTTTCGTTCCGTCTGAAATATCTCGAGCGGATCTTCACGCGATCCCAATATGAGTGGAGCCCTTCGGCGGGAAGTAAAACTCTCGCCTCGAACGAGATCGAGGCTGAAGATTCAGGCACTCAGCCCGCGTCAACTATTCGTCGTGGAAAATTAGGGAAATCATCCTAATCTCATCTCTCTTCCAGGCTTGAGAGTCTGTGTCTTCACAATTTTCTCGATCTCTCTCTCTGTATTCTTGCTGTGGAGCTCGCTGCTGAAGTATGAACTTCTCAGAACTGGAGCTCTGACCGAGGGGAGTTTAGCAGCGCGATTGTACGAGACGATACCGTTCGACGTGCGACAGAATGTTTACGTATTCAATATCACGAATCGAAAGGAATTCCTTTCCGGCGCAAAGCCCCGTTTCGAGCAGCTTGGTCCGTATACGTTCAAGTGAGTCCAACCTCCGATATTGTCATTCTTCTAACACGATAGCTAGAATGGTTTTTCAATATGAGTCACACTTCGCCTAAGACGTGTTCCATTCCCGTGTTCATGTCCGTGTTCCATACATGAAGAATTTCTTTCAGTCTGACCTTGCGGAAAGAAATGTCGTGGGCAGCCGACGGCTCACTGAGCTACAAGGAGAGGCGCATCTTCATGTTCAAGCCGGAGCTGTCCACTGGGCAACTCTCTGATCGGGTGTACACAGTTGACCCGGTCTATACCGTCGCCTTGTCGGTGATCGACACATTGCCAGCGTACTTGCAGGCGTTCCTGAGACTGTTCATAAAGTCGCGGAGTATCCTATTCGAGCGCACCGTCGACGAGATACTATATTCGGGGTGAGCGAACAGGGGAAAAAAGATTCGTCGCCGATTCCGTGATTCCATCAAGGGGACAATTGAGTCTCACCGAAGTGTCTACCCTCCTCAGGTACTCCGACCCGCTCGCAAATATCGCGCATCTTTTCAAAAAAGATCTTCCCGTTATCGATGGGAAAATAGGATACCTGAGAGCCTTGAATAACAGTGATGATGGGAGCATGACAGTGTACTCCGGCGACGCAAACACGCTCAGACAGCGGAACGAGGTTTTTCGGTGGATGGGCCAAGAGTGAGTAACACTCGAGACACTTGCCTCATTCTTTCTTGAGCATTGTGACAGCGAAAGTGGATTCTGAATATCTAATGAGTCCTCCTCTTCCTCAGCTACATTCCTCACTACGCTGAACCGTGCAATAAGCTCTACGGCGAGAGTGAGAATCGTCTTGTGGCTTTTTTCGAAAGAGCGGGCAAATTTGCCTCGTATGACCGCTCCATAGAATCTCATCGGGCGATTTTCCTTCTTAGACGGTGAACTTTTCCCGGCTTTCGATCTGTCCGCTCCGCCCGCAGAAATTCATGTTTTCCAACCGATGTTCTGCCGGCCATGGACGCTGCACTTCAACGGATCGAGTCGACCGTATGGAGTAGTGTTGGCGAAGTTCAACACCCGAGACGACATATTCTCACCGACGGGCGACGCTGAGTTCGATCGGTGAGAATGACGGATCACGGCTCTCCGCGGAAATTTTGAGAATCGCTGATACTCATTGATTTTCAGGAGTGTGCGCCAGAACTTCAATATTTTCCCTCCCCAGTCCGGCAAGAGCGCTTACAGCTTCGTTCTCATGTATTCTAGATGTCTACAGCCACGTGGTTGGCCGAGAGGAGTTTTCGATATCAGTGACTGCCAGCATGGTTTCCCTGCGCTGATAAGTTTACCGCATTTCCTCCGGGCGGAGGAGTGCCTTGAGGACGTCGAGGGACTTGAACCCGACCCCAGTCTACATGATTTCGAGATGGAAATTTACGCAGTACGTATCCAGCGGGATCAGGATTTCCTCTCGGACGGGAAGGGGGGCAGTCCGTGATGACTCCAGAATCAGAATGAATACGCGTCTACCTGAGGCCCATGTCCTTTCCTATCAAAATATATGACGCCCTTAGCTCTCTGAATCCATTATCTGAGACCTGGTGGAATCACTCGATGATGGAATTCAGTCTCCGGAATCCTATTTCAGCTTCTCGGTATCCCGGTCCGACCCGCGATCCGAGCACAAATTAACGTCCGGATTCAACGAAAGTTCTCTCCTGAGAGCCCCGCTCTTGTCTATCCGATTCTTTGGCAAGAAATCGTAAGTTTCCTAAGGAGTGTCTAGAGATTCTCGCGGAGCAGAGCTCCCTGGATCGAGCTGGGCAGTAAGAGGTCTGCGGATTAGAGTCTCATTTTCGGGGGGGGGTGACTCAATATGATGCACGCTTTTCGAATTCCAGGTTCTGGCAGAGCAGGACAGCGAATATCTGAGCTCGATAATCTACTACGCCTTATCTGTACCGAGCGTATTACTATGCGTGATCCTCTTCATTATATCGAGCGCCTCGTTGCTGTTCTTAATTATTGACATTCGATCCTCGATGAGGAAGCGCCACGTACGTTGCTTAGACCTTATGTAGAATATGAAATGGAATCGACGCATTGTCTTTTCCAAGAAAGAGACCATCCGGCCGTCGACCTCAGAGTAATATTTTTCATGCTTTGATTCAGGGAGCCGAAGATGACGAGCGGCCGATTTGGAGTTCCGCCGATATTCTGGAAAATGACACGACAGAGCCTGCGCCACAACAGAATCCAGATGATCTCCGCGACACAAGCTAGATTTAAGAATTGAACTAGTCTGGAATCCTCGGATTCCGAATCGGGTGTGTTCCCGTTTGTTTTTGTCCGGGAATTCGATGGGAATCCCGCCTCCTCATCCGAACTGATCCTTTGTACTGACATCTATGAACGAGGTGTAGCCATCGTACGAGCACGCTTCTGGATTCCTGCGAATGTGAGACACTCGATCTCCGGGGGCGGGAGAGAAGCGGGCCTTTCAGTGTGGCTCCACCTCCCGCTCATTTTTCTCGTTCTTGACGTGAACCATTTCACGGTCTAGGTACTCTACTCGGTATGAGACTTTTATTTGTATATGTTGTCTCTGGTCGAATTCATGCAACAACTGTTCCGTCAGAATAAATATCATGAGCGCGATGCAACTCGAGGGTCTGGGTTTTCTTTCTCCTGACTTGAGCCGCTCATATACCGACGGGTGGTCGAGTGGTCAGCGCGTTTGTCACTTCTCGTGCAAACGTGCTCTTCACTTCGTGAAATGCCGCAACGACGCCGCTCGCGCGGGAGGCGGTATGGGTTCGATCCCTGCTCCCGGAAAAATATGCAGGTACTCGGCCTTGATCCTCCTGGGTACATTTGCTCTATGGATCCGATTCTAGAAGTCAGGTGACCCGATTATCTCGAGTCGATCCATCCCGAAGGCATCCGGAGCTGGTGAAGGAGCTTCGGGCGCCCCTACAGTCATGAGAAAGTATAAAGAAACGCGGACGACCAGTAATTATCGACACCTTGATCATCCTCGGCATCGATCTCGGGTGAAGAAATGGAAGCATGGAGCTCATGGTGCCCAGGGACCGGCACCTCCACCCCCCCTCACCGCAAGGAACGCTTCTGCTTGCAGAGCATGGAACTTTTGATTCGGAAGCGGCATAGACTTTATTTATTTACATCGTACATTAGTATATTACAAATAGGCTCATTGTTCGGTGGTCACCTTGTCCTCCGTGAAGCCGAAATCCTCAGACGGCGACCTCGCGCGATGTCTTCGCTGGCTTTTGAAAACACAGGACTCCGGAGCGATGGATCGCGGCATAGATTTAGAACCGTGCCGGTGTTTAGAGCTCGTCTTTCAGGAATGGGAAGGTCTTTTCTAGGGGCGAGTGTTCGCAATTCGTGAAAAGCAGCGAGCAGTTGGTCCCACGAATGCCCCCGAGCATGCCGGAGATATAATTGCTGCCCAATCCGTCGACGTCGTAGGCTGGTAAAAGCCTTCTGAACGACGTTACTGCCTCACTCTTCGAGGCGGTGATCTTCGTGAGCTCGCAGATGAATTTCACGCGACACTCGTCTCCGTGGATACGCAAGCTTCTGAAGATGTCATCATCTAGGTTCGAATAGGAAATGCTGCGTAGAGCATCGAGCATGTCGTAGGTCAGAACTTCCACGTACCAAGAACCCACGTACCAAAGCGCATACATTAACACCGCGACGACACCCGCTGCGATGGACAAGATGGACCACTTGTCATCTCGTTTCCGGAGGAACATAAACGAGACCGAAACACTGAGAATCACCATCGTAAAGCCGAGGAGTCCCAATATTCCCACAACTATCTCGAGAGACATGGTGGCCGGTCCTTATTCCGCGCGAGGGGGATCTTACTTAGTCGTACACGGAAGTACACTAAACAGTTCCTTCATGAGGGCAGGCCCGCTTTGTTGCCGAGACCACATGTACACTGGCTGATAATATTGTCGCACATCGTCATGATCTTCTCTTAGTCGACGTGCTTGACGAAAGGAAAGAATCGGGCAGTCGATTGGCTGGGGCTCGGTCTCTCTCGACGCGGAGAGGATTTGGGATCTTGATTTTTTATCGGCGATGAAGCATCTTGGAGGCGACTCCAATCGATGCGTCGAGGACCCAGTGAACGAGATCGAGAGGGAAGTGAACGAGAATATTGGACGTCGCTCCGAAACTCGGCGGGAGACTTCGCAGAATTCTGTCTACGACTCGCCACGACATCGCTCCGGCGTTTTGAAGCGCCGAAAGTGTCGGCCTGGCTTTCGAGACGCCTCATAAGTCACTGCTCATCAGTATTATTCGAGAATCTTCTGCACAGGCCGGATCGATGCTTCCCGCGACCTACCACTACACAATTGTAAACATTACGAGAAGCTCTGCTAGTGAAGCATCGGATTTATGATTCATTACATTATTCCTCGGCTCTCGGGGCTGATATCTGAACCAGACGCCCATCCTGAGCGCTCTGAACCCGGTCACACAGCTCCTGACCTCGAAAGCGTCCGGCGTCGTATTGATCGAGTCGCTTACAAAATTGCAAAAGCGCATCAAAGCGGAGTACAACTCGCGTGACTGACTGCAAGGAATCGCAAAATTTCGTTCGGAACGGCTCCGTGCCCCCAAAGTCCATACAGTACAGAATTCTGGTCCCAGCGAATCATCTGCACGTAAACTCGAGCTCCCATGGAGGGATGTCTGCGATTTCTCAACATTAGTATGGGAGATGAACGTTCGCTAGGTCCAATCAAGTCAAATGTCTCCGACGGACTTTCCTTCTCTCGGATCGATCCGTCGCGACAGCCTCTCTTTGCGCAGGCGGTCCACCAGCCTTTTAAAACCCCTTAATTCCCTCCTCGCCTCGACTTCGAACGCGAGCAAGGTTTTCGGTGTCGTAATAAAAAACAAGAACCTCATCGAAGCCGGGAGCCTGAGAGAATATGGTCGGGGTTCGAGAAGACTTGTTCGTTTGCGGCCTTCGCGGTCATTGATGTATTAGAGGCGTATTTTTTTGTCCCAGGGATCAGGTGGTCGAGCGCAAACATCACTGGTTTCGGAAATCTCCCTCGGAGTCTCGCCGTCCTTACATAGTCGTTCTGGGCGTGTCTCTCACCCAAGGAGAGGAGAAGTCGCGTTATCCTACCGACCGACGCCGGCGCTCTCGTGCGTTTTCATGGCGAAACATCTGCTATCCTCCGCGTCTTCCTGCAGTGCTCGCGGAGCTGCCGGCAGAATACTCAGACACTTTCACGAGGAGACTTTTTCGGAAAGTCTCGACGGGATCTTCAAAAGCTCACGGATTACCGACCACGTGAGTCGGATGAAATTCATTTGCGGAGAGTGCCGAAGTCTCGCTGCGAGGAGCGAGGGATTTGCATCGTTCATTGAGATTAAGTCGGCCTTCGCAACCCCCGAGAAAGCTATCACATGGGAGAGGTTCTTGTCGGGATTCACGACATGAATTGCAATTCGATATATTCGACATGGTAGGAGTTGCCTCGGGAGAAGACCCCTCCTACACGACAAATTCTACGAGTCAGGTGACCCGATTATCTCGAGTCGATCCATCCCGAAAGCACCCGGAGCTGGTGAAGGAGCTTCGGGCGCCCCTACAAGCATGAGAAAGAATAAAGGAAAGCGGACGACCAGTAATAATCGACGCCTTGTTCATCCTCGGTGTCGATCTCTTCGATCTCGGGAGAAGAAATGGAAGCATGGAGCCCATGGCGCCCAGGGACCGGCCCTTCCACCCCCCTCACCGCAAGAAACGCTTCTGCTTGCAGAGCATGGAACTTTTGATTCGGAAGCGGCATAGATTTTATTTATTTACATCGTACATTAGTATATTACAAATAGGCTCATTGTTCGGTGGTCACCTTGTCCTCCGTGAAGCCGAAATCCTCAGACGGCGACCTCGCGCGATGTCTTCGCTGGCTTTTAGAACACAGGATTCCGGAGCGATGGATCGCGGTAAAGGTTTTGAACCGTGCCGGTGTTTAGAGCTCGTCTGTCAGGAATGGGAAGGTCCTTTCTAGAGGCGAGTGCTCGCAATTCGTGAAAAGCAGCGAGCAGTTGGTCTGACGAATGCCACCGAGCATTCCGGAGAGATAATTGCTGCCCACTCCGTCGACGGCGTAGGCTCGTAAAAGCCTCCTGAACGACGTTACTGCCTCACTCTTCGAGGCGGTGATCTTCGTGAGCTCGCAAATGAATTTCACGCGACATTCATTATCGTGAATACGCAACCTTGCGAATATGCCGTCGTGGAGGTCCGCATAAGGGATGCTGCGTAGAGCATCGAGCATCCCGTCGATCAGAACTTCCTCCCGATACTGATGAGAAACCACAGACCAAAGCGAACACATTGATACCGCCACGACAACCGCTTTGATGAACAAGAAGGACCACTTGTCATCTCGTTTCCGGAGGTACATAAACGAGACCGCAACGTTGAGCATCACCATCGACAAGCCGAGGAATCCCAGTATTCCCACAACTATCTCGAGAGACATCGTAGTCCTTAGTCTGCGAGAGATGGGATCTCAGACGATCTCACGGTAGGCTTCACTACGGACTCTTTGGGAAGGCACGTAAGCTTCGTGCCAGCGCACTAAATGGTGATAATGTTGCACTTCGTTGAGCTCTCCTCCCGATCGATGTGCTTGACGGAAGAACAGATTCGAGCAGCGTAAACCTAGGTTCGCTCTATCACAGCTTCTGGGGAAACTCAGCCTCGCACTAGCTCAGGAGCTTCGATCACGAAGTACGAAGTGCAGTAGCAGAGTTTCAGGAAGAGTGCTCGCCATTTATTCATATACGGGTGTTGCTCGAATACAGATGTAGAGAAAGAGAGCTGTCCTCCAACGGCATATTTGATCTCATGATTCGAACTGCTCTCTCTGAACGCATGTATATACCTAATAATGATCAACCCACACATCCCATCAGCCCTCTCAGTCGAATAGAAGGGGGAGCTCGCCGCGGACTCTATTGCGCTAAGTGACGGCGTGCTTAAATCGAGTTCTCTCTGCACCCGATGACCGAACGGGTCGAACCCTGCATTCGGATCTCTTAGCGGAATCTCAGAGCGTCATCATTCCGTTCAGGTCTCTGTCTCTAACAAGTATTCGATTGCCTAGGGCTCGATTCCTCTCGACGACGAGTGGAATTCGGACTCTGATCTTATTTCAGTGATGGGGCGGCTCCCACCGATGCATCGAGGATCCGATGAGCGAGATCGAGAGGAAAGTCAGCGACAACATTTGTTGTCGCTTTGAAGCCCGGTGGGAGACTTCGCAGAATTCCGTCTACGACTCCCCATGACATCGTTTCTGCGTTCCAATGCGCCGGACTTATCGCCCCGAGGTTTGAAAAGCGTCGTAGCTCGCTGATAAGTCTCCATGAGTTTCACGCTCGGACCGAATCGATTCGCAAAATCACATTCGTGGAGAGTGGAGCTTGCAGAGAGGTCTATGGGCGGAATTCTTCTCTCAGATTAGTACATTGTTTGGCGATGGATTTGAACTTAATCGGATGCTCTGCGGGTCTCCAAATCGATGTCGAAGCTGGACTCATTGCTTCTCCATTCTGGGCGCCCGGTCATGCTCCCATGAGCGTTCGACGTTGCGACGGTGGAATAGGCACTCCACTTCTATTCCGGGAGTGTTCGCGGAACAATCGAGTTCCTGCTCGGGGGGATGAGGCTCCTTTGGAATTCATCTCCCCCATAACCGCTTAACTTTGACTTCAAACAGAGAGAACATTATGAGATATCCGTCGATGGCCTAGGTACATCGCTCTGAGATGAACGCTCCCCAGGGTCGACGTCAGCGACGTCCATGATGGGAGCCTGAGGCAGAATATTCCATCTTTCATCTGCAGAGCGAGATGGGCGAGGAGTGATTCCGAGGCTCCCGAGTCTCAATTTCCAACTTAATAGCCGAGTCCCAATTTTATTGTGGACTGTGGGTCGTAGGGAGATGATTTCAGGGTAAGATCGAGGAGCACACGTCGCTTTCTGTAAATCTCCAAACATTCTGTTCATTCTAGATTCTAGAAAGAACATTTTCTTAAAGGCGTTTCCGTCGGGGAGCTGTGACCATGGCGGGCGCTCCATTATCTATTGAACTGCAACAGCGCTGCAGCTCGGAACTGCTGAGGAAATTATTTGGGCTCCCGGATTCATCGGCCGAGCTGACGATGGAACCTTCTCGCGCTAGGTCGGCCGGTCACGCGCGTGATATCATGGTGAGCCTTAGACAGATTTCTCCGAAGTCTCCAGCCGCTTCTCGAGGACACGTCCAATGTTTTCAGCAAAATTTCCTTCTCTCGGACTGATGCCCTGGGAGAGCCCCTCTCCCTGCTCTGGCTAGGCATCAGCGAAATCGGACCTCAAATTACCCTCCTCGCCTCTGGTTCGAATGCGAGCGAAGTTTTTGATGTCGTCGTAGAAGACACGAGCTACAGAAAGCCTAGGAATCCGAGAGGACACGCTCGGGCCGTGGTGAAGACTCGCTCATTTGTGGAGCTCTCGGTGATCTCGGTGAAACCCCGGACGAGCGATGCGTTGATTTGTGCGAGATCTTGCTGTGGCTGACTGAGGGATTGGATCCTCGAGCGGAACCCTCATGGATCTCGAGAATCTCCCCCGAACTCTTTCCACCTTCGCCGTGACAATATCATTCCTCCATGCTGTTGTTCTGAGCGTTTTCCTTGTCAGAAAAGAGGGGAAAACTCGTATAATCTGTACAGTGCTCATGTGCGTTTTCACGGCGATACATCTGGTATCCTTTGCGGCTTTCTGTAGAGCTCGCGGAACAGTCGG